TTCTGATTATCCATTTTTCGCCTTGAAAGTTACGATTTTCGTAACACTCACTCATTTTCGTATCACTCATGCTTTAGTTCTCGAATAGCAGTGGAAGGAAATGTAGAAATGTAGAAGCGGTTTATTTTATCACGTTACCCAAAGGCAGTTGTAATAAAAAAAGTCATTTCTTTAGGTTCCTTTGGTTCTGCAGGTTCCGCGGTTCCGCGGTCTGCAGTTCTACAGATTAGTCTTATCGATTTTGTTGTCCGTTTACCGTACCTTTAGACCTATATACTGATTTTTCTGCCGCTCTCGTTGCCATCGCCGTCTAGCATTACACAGTTTCACCTTTTGTTTGAGTAAATTAAACTATAAGTATATTAAAGAGAGCTTCGCTTTTAGCCCTAGCTAAATCTAAATAACGTAAAATTCCGAAAATAAGCCCCGGGGCTTATATTTTTCAAAAGCCCTTTTTGAGGGGCTTATATTCGGAGGGGTTTATCTACGGAGGGAAATTTGCGTTTCAAAATCGATTGGGCTAGCCTTATAGTTGGAAGTAAATTTACCGTTTTTGCTTTGTTTTACTTTGTATTTGAGGGCAATTTTCCAAGTACAAGCCCCCGGGGGGCTTATATTTGGAGGGGCGATTTAACGGAGGGTTTTTTTCTTTACCAGCCATACCACCCGGGCCTTGACAGCCTTGGACTGCTGTTTCGCCTTTATCAAGTAAGGCTCGTCAGCTTGGTATAGCCGTCGGCCTCTGAACGGTCCGGGCCGTGTTCAGAGGCCCTTTTAATGCCGAGGTGAGTGCGAAATATTCCTTTAAGCACTAGCTCTAAATGCCCACAACACATCTTGGAACTGCAGGCTGAGAACTGAGACAAACGTAAAACGCCCTTGGTCTAAAGGCAATTCAAAATTCGCTAGTTGAGAAATTCCGAAAGAAAAACAGAGAAGAACAGAGAAGGGAACAGTGCATGTAAAATAAATAAAAAGTGTAAGTATAATTAAAAACAAGTAAAACAGAAAACAAAAGGTTTCTTTTTTCATCTTTTTTCTCAGGGAAAAAGGAAATTTTGAGAAGCATCTGCCAAAACTCATGCAGTTGCCATTGTAATTAGCGTCAATTTTGACGTACACGTCTCTCTCCTCCGCAGAGCCTTCTTTGTGTCGTAGGGAGCCTGGGGAGAAGGAAAAATGAAAGCGAGCGGATCGTCCCCCGTGCGTGCTTTCTTATTTGTTGATTACTACCTTTTTTAAAGGAGTTATCCAGTGGGAGCCTCTGCGGAAGTGAGAGTGTACGTCACGATAACTTTAAAAATGTTCCCAGGTAATTTTTAAGAAAAAGCTGCTGCGTTTGGTGGTCATCAGAGCCACGAATTGACGCAGAACAAAATGACAGAGAGTAATATTGCTATTGCTATTCGTTTTGTCGACGAAAACGACTACAGAGAGATTTCTGCTAAAGCTGTGTCAGTAAAAAGGAAATTAAAAAAGAATCGCCCTTCCTCTCTTGTATACAGCTAACAGTACAGCAGGGAAATCCTTAACCGGCACTGAATATTCTCTCAGGATCATTTATAATTTACAGTCTGAAGAGAGCAATTTCTGGTTTGATATTTATTCTTTTATTAGTCTTTTATTATTCAACAAAAATAACACTTGACGTCCTACTTGCTTTATTGTACAAACGACCGGTTTCAGTAGACCGGCGAAATTCCTATTTTTATTAAAGCACTGAGGTTACGACAACTTCGAGTTAAACTGATTTCACGGGTTGTCAAAGAGTCCAGCGATTCCCTTTTCCCAGGTGAGCGCCGATTCATTTCACTTCAATATTCAGGAATGCTCTCGATCTCTTTACGCTTTTATTGCGTTTCGCCCGACATGTTTTGCACGGCTTTAGTTATGCGAAACCTCCACGAAACATCCACGTAGCGCGCGAGGTAACTTCATCCCGATTCTAAAAATAACTCGAGACGAATTACCTATGGAATAGGGTGTGTATGGGGGATGCCTTCTTTGTCTCCTTTATCCTCTCTTGTTTTGAAGTTATTCATTTTTCTTGCGAGGAAGGCTCCAAAAGCACCCCCCGGTCTGAACAGGGTTAAGCAATTTGTTGACGTTATCTGCTTTGACATCATATTTGGTATTTTGCGTCAAACAAATTCTTTAAGTTATTTGGTCAACAGTCGTAGTCTATCTAACAACTTTGTTAACGAATAATATAAAAACTTAAAATTAGCCCAAATGACTGGTCGGCACCACCGTGGGAGTCGAGAATGATGACATCAACATGCAGGGAGGGAAAACTTGTCACCTGATTTACGTCTTTGTTTGTTTATTGTGTATGTTAAGAAACGATGCGAAAACTTTAACAATGCAATGCAATACAATAAGAGTTTATTGTGAAAATACACTTAGCTACAATAATGGTGTGCTTTCACAGACGGAACCGAAATCGGAGTCTGTGAAAGCACGCCAGCTAATTTACAGGTATTCCACAAACATAATAAAATTAAGAGTTAAAAAACTAGATATGGAATATTCTATAATTAAAATTATAACAATAAAATCTTAATAAGTATATCTTATATCTAAATAAATACTAAATTCAATAAAAAAGCGTCGAAATTATAAAAATTGCACTAGGTCAACTTAGCTAATGGATCTCTTAAAAGACTTAAAATTCGTTATATTTCTAAACATGTTCGGAATTGAATTCCAGAGTTTCGGACCAATATAACGGACTGAGTTCAAGCCATATTTAGTAGACTTTGGCTTGGGTAGCGAGAGGATATAGTCACCTCTTAAATTGTAGCTAACGTTCTTCCTATGAACTATCAGGTCTTGTATACTTTTGGGCGCTAAAGAATTGTGGACGGCATTAAAAATAGACAGTGTGATTTTAATTAATCTTTGTTGTTTTAAAGATGAGAGGCCTAATGCGTTGAGAAGTTCCGAGTAGCTTGTGTACTTATCCCTGAAAACAAACCTGATCGCGCGCTCATTTAACCTTTCCAATTATGTCTGCAGCACTTTTACTACAAAAATTCCAGGTTTCACTGCAATAATTGAAGTGAGGAAGGATAAGTGCTAAATATAGGTCGCGCCTTGTTTCGAAGGGAAGCATTTTCTTCATTCTTTTAAGAACAGCTATTTGCTGTGAAACTTTCCTACATATTTTAGCAACATGATTGTCAAACTTCAGTTCGTTATCTATCGTTATGCCAAGCATCTCAAATTCTTTAGTCACTGGGATACTGGAATTTTCACACTTGAAATCTTTCCCATCACAATAGCTTGATACTTAGAATTGTTCCTTTTCAGACCGTTCTCATCATACCATTTATCAACAAGCTCGAGATCAGAGTTTATAGCACTCTCAACTTCTCTATACAGTAAAAACCCGCAAGTAGGAACCTACATTTTCTGGAGTTAGCCTAAACAGGTTCTTATTTAAATGGTAGTTAACACAATTTTAGGCTAGTTAGGTTCTTAAATAGGTTCTTATTTCTGTAAAAAAAAATTAAATAAAAAAACAAGCTACAAAACAAGATGGTAATCAGCCTATTGGTCAATTTCAAAATGCGATACAACGATATTAACCTTTTGCACTTTATTTTTTTATTACATCAATAAATTAGCACTTTTATTTTGCACAGCAATGCCAAGTTCCTAATTCTCCAAACAGGATTCTTGCACAGTTTTGCAGCTGCATTTCAATAATATGATTTTAAAAAAATAAGAACCTGTTTTTCATTTTCTAGGCTAAACAGGTTCTTAATTTTAGGGGATATAAATGGCAAATTTTAGGCTAACAGGTTCTTAATTTTCAGGTTCTTACTCGCGGGTTTTTACTGTAGTCATTATGAGCAAAGAAAATTTGCGTGTCGTCTGCGTAGCTAGAGAGTTTACATCTTTTCACGATGAACACGAGATCGTTGATGAAAATATTAAATATCGAAGGCCCGAGGATTGATCCTTGGGCAATCTCTCTGGAAATATAATTCCAGCTCGAATATTCTCCAGCTACTTTCACTCGTTGTTGGCGATCAGAGAAATAATCCCCAATGATATTAGCAGTTCTCTCGTCAGCACCAGAGATCGTGTGGTAGAGAGTCGATGGCCTTCGACAAGTCCATAGACACAAGACCAATTATTTTCCGATCGTCCTGCTCCTTTCGCCATTCCTCCGTAAGACTGAGCAGGGCCGTATCACAACCGTGATGCTTTCTATAAGCGAACACGAACTTGTGGAGAATATTTCTGAACCGTGGACTGACTCTTGAATGAACGAGCGTTTCAAAGGCTTTTGACAAAGATGGAAGAATGGTGAGTGGTCTGTAATTATCCTTGGACAGGCTGCAGTCTTTCTTATACACTGGAGTTATTTCGCCCTTTTTCCACTGTTTAGGGATTTTTCCAACGTCCAGAATGTAATTAAAGAGAGTGCAGTACGGCTCAAACAACACTTCAGCAGAATATTTCACTGCCCTCGCGGGAATAAGATCATGGCCAATGGCTTTATTTGTTTTCATGTTACACATGATTTCCTTCACTTCTATGGGGTTAGTATAGTTTAGGGTGATCTGGCCGCTGGCGGAGTCGTGTGGAAAATGTGTGAAATCCTTCATGCGTTCAGTTGTTTTATCAGTGCCAACAATGTTTGAAAAGAAATCGTTCAAAGTTTCTGCAACTTCACGTGGCTCCCGCATTATCTGATCATTCTCCTTAAGAACAATACGGCTATTGTTCTTTTTCTTACGTGAATTAATATACGGTCTAATTGTGTTCCAGAATTTTCTTTGATCTGCGAATTTCTCCGTAACTTTAGGTGTGGACTCGCTACCTTTTGATGTTTTTTTGTTGACACCCAAATGGAGATTATAATCAGCAGATTAAATACATTGGTATGGACATGACCGCAGCTAGTCAAAATATAGAGATCAAGGTATATGCTTGAGCTAACGCTTTGTGTTTAAATATGCAAATATAGTGGCTACGACACTGTTTCCCCGAAACATTTGCATGAGTAAAGTTAGGGGCGCAGGGTATAAATGCAACACTTTACATCGCTATGATCTAATCAGTGTTGTTATCAGTGCTCTTAGCGCATGAAAACTGCAACGATTCTGATTATGCACCTTACTTCTGATGTGATTTTCATCTTTCTGTTTCTCCGCAACGCTGGTAGGTTCGAGTTGGAAGTTTGTTTCCTTGTATTGATAGTTAAACAGGAACCGAAGAAACACTGAACATTATGCCCAGAAAGGAGGTGATCTCTAATGCAACATTAACGTTTTATCGTTTAGAATCGCAGGCTCCAACTATAACATCAGCACCTTCGAACCCATTGCAATTGGTGGAGGGTGGAAATGTGACTTTGCAATGGACGTACAACACTGGAGGGAGTGCATTTCAAGAAGCCGCATTTGAGTCACGAGGGTTCCCTTTCATTGTTAGAAAAACTACCGGAGCCTCCGCGATTATCTTTCCAGCCTTCGTTGGACGATTGACAGCCAATATAACGGAAACAAATGCTTCCATCACGTTCCTTTTAGTCAACAGGAGCGACAGTAGAGTCTATGAATTTGTTGTCTTCAATCAAGACTTCAGGATCGCTTTGCAACAGTTTACTATGGATGTGCTGTGTAAGTCGACATTTTTTTTGTCCTTTTAGTGTTTATGACGGTGGTTTGTCACTTATAGAAACACTGGTTAGAAATCCTGCTAATGCATACCAGAGTCGGTCCGAAAGCATCTTTCATCTAGCGATAGTTGATTACTTTTCCAGTTTGAAAGAGCTGTGGGGAAGTCGAATTTGGGGGTTACACATGGAGTACCAGTGTTGTAGACCGCGTTCCCCAAGAACCCATAGCAATCAGTTCAGCGTTCGTTGGTGAAGTGACAGCGAACACAACAGAAACATTAACGTATCCATCACGTTCCTAGCAGTCTACAGGAGCGACAGTAGAACCTATGATTTAATCGTCCTCAATGAAAAGAGCGAGATTGATCACAGATCAATGGATATAGAAGAACAGTGTGACGGCACATATTTATTGTAATAGATCGAATGGGGGTAGGGGGGAACATTATTAAAGTGATACTCTCTTAGTATTTGTAAATTATTTTATGATTTTGAAACCGCGTGCAAAGGGTGCAAAGTAATAGGAAATGATGGGGGGTGGGGGTGAAATTTGCCAGTAAAGGTAGGGTCCCATATCTATTATCACTCAATAGGAATATAATTCTCTGGACTAACACAGAACCCTCATTGATCATGGCTTTCTTTGTGTTCTTATCTACAATAGGCAAGGTTTGCTATCATTAATTTACAAAATGTTTATTGTTAATAAAATGTATGATTGCATCTGCAAGCAACATTTACTTACAAACAATGGCATCAATGATCTGTGGACTCAACTGCTTTTTTCCATTTGCACCAGTAAGGTTGGAGCCGATCAATTCACTGTTTAAAAAGAAACAGTTCAATAGGAAGCACGCTGCCCCTGATGGCGCCTTTTTAGCTAGAGGCCACATCAATGCTTGTTTGGTACACATGCACCCTACTGCCTGCGGTGACAGCTCTACCATCGGAAAATATACATTGATGTAATTTTTTAATTGACTTTTTTAGCTTTTATAATTTTTTTTTCCTATTCAGCTCATGTGATGTTCTCAAGCAAATTTTTCTTTTGTCTTTTCCTAAATAAAATAATGAGCATTATGCACGTGGGCCGCAAAAGTTGAAAAACCATACTCAAGAGTAACATCGTTGGTCTGAATTCGGGAAACAAAATGTGCAAGCCAAAAAACGTCTTAGAATTGTAGTCATGCTTTGATGTCTGTTATCTATTATTAATTTATCAACAATTTGTTCAAAGCATTCAAAGGTCATAGTATTGATTGTATTAGGGACAAAACCAGCAGAGAAAAACAAGCAACGTTAATTTGCCTGCAATAAAAATAATCGCTGCAGCAATAAATTTGGGCATTATGTTTAGGGTTCACATGCAGGCTCAATTTTCATGCTGTTAATGGCTGGCACCTTTGGAAGAACTGTATTCGTGGAAAAGTATGACAGACAGCAAATATCCAAGTTGCAAACAATTATTTCTGCACTTTTGCCTGGGTAACCCAAATTTTGCTTGGGCAAGTATATCATCAGGATTACTTGCCCCGGATGAAAACTTCAATTATTTAAAAATATATATATGGAAGTAGTAGGGCTTCAGCAAAGATAAGCCTTGCGATGGATTAGGTGGATTAGGTGGATTAGGTGCCTAGTCAATGACTTCACCCATTGTTATAACCTACATACTAATTTGGATTAGGTTTATTAATGAGCGTCACTCTACTACAATAGGAACAATAGGCTTGCCTAGACTTGCCCGGGATCTTTTAACCCTAATTGGATAGTAAACAATCTATTATGAGTTTAGCATAAAAGCGTGCTTTCCCTTCAGTATTTCATTCTCGCAATCACTTTACTAAGGAAAAAGTCTTACTATCACCAATATTTTTTAAAACATTGCTCCAAACATGCAAGTCGAATCGAGCTGTAAACTTGTCTGACTATTACAGAACCGTTTTCTCCTTTCTATCTCGAGGAAAAGAAGTCTTGTCATTTTCACGCACGGTTAATCAGTTAATTATGCGAGTTCACAAGCCCAAAGTTGAATACAAATTAGCTCTACAGCTAGACCCCAGGGAGCAACCTTGACGTATTGTTATAAAACAAATAACTTAACAAGCATCAATTAAAACACGCGACTCATAATTGCTAGCAATAAAAAGACAAGAGAGGTATCGTTTTAAAAAAATTTATTAAAAAACAATGACAAAAAGAGTCAAATACACAGGAATGGAAATTAATTAATCTTCATCTTCGCCCATGGAGTACTTGTAAGGTTTGAATTTCTTATGCCGACGTTTCTTCAGCTGTTTGCCATGAGATTTATGATCATCCAAATAATTTAGAAATTGAATCCGACGCCTTTTGCGCTTCGGGCCTTGTGGTGATGGGGTTTCTACTGTGGGAGGAGGGTCAGGAAAGCAGGATTTAAGGGTGGTGGAGGGGTGAGGCTTTCTTTGTCAGCTTTTTGAGAGATAGCCGCTTGTGTTAATTCAGGTGTTACATTAAAGGGGTTGAGGGGAGTCGAGAATGCTGTCGTTGCTGTCGAAGAATCTTGTGTCCTTAATGTTAAGTCTGGAACAGTACTGATTATTTCTTCCGGTCGTGTTCTTGTATTTAATTGTTCTTTGAAAGCCAGGTATCTGTTTTGCAACTGAACGTATCGCTTAGCTTTTTGATCGTCCCGAAGATCGTTTCGAGAAAGCACGTCATCCATGTTGCCCTGTATTTCTTGCATAGCTGGAAGAAGTGGGACAGGCGAAAGAGTTTGCTGCTTCAGATATTTTAGGAGCTCTTGAGGAATATTTTCTTGAAACCATGCTTGGTTAAAGCCTTCTTCACTGGCAGGACGTTTGTTCGCAACCGACAATTATCTTGGGTAGTAGTTTTCACATCAATCAGAAGATAACCAAAAGGTCTTTTTACAGCCTCTTCGTACTTATTTAAAAAGAAATCAGTCTGCCCAGGATACATTTGCTTCGCCAGAGTCAAGATTTGCAATTTGTCTCGTGAATTCTTGAATAACACCAGATAATGGCTGTTTAGGCTTATGCTGCGGCTACCTTTCCCCTGATGAAATAGATTCTGCACGATATAAACCACGCTCAGATTGCGATGATGAGAACCACGAGTAAAGAGGTTCACAATTCGCTTGTCTTTACTGGCGTCAATCATCTGATCATCAAACACGATCAAATTCCGTTTGTTCACATCAAAATAGGAATCTTGCTCCAAAGCCGTAGGAATTCCCTTGACGAATTCAATGTTTGGCATGGCGACTAACATTTGTGTATACGCAGGCTGCCATTGTGAATAACACCAAACGATCCTCTCCGGGGGAGGGTAAATGGTCTCTGAAGCTTGTTGCAATAGAGATCGAACCCAGGCCGTTTTTCCGGACCCGGTCATTCCGGCAATCATGGAGGTGAAAGGATGCTCGAAGCGAAACCGCTGACATTTCTGTGAAAATATTGGAACTGTTTGAAATGGGGTGAGACCAGCATTGCGGTGTTTAGACATCACGTGCCTTTGCATACTATCTTTTCTACTAAAGGATTTTTCGCAGACAGAACAGAACCAACTCATGTCAACTCCTCAGGAGCAAAATGTAGACTGAGAAAGAGGTAGAATGTTGCGCATTTATATAGGTTTTCAGACCACAAGATTCTATTGTTTTCCTCCCCCAAGACCACCACTACCACCACCACCACATTTCTATTGTTTTCTTTCCTCCACCACCGCCACCACATTTCTATTGTTTTCCCTCCAACACCACCACCACCACCGCCACCACATTTCTATTGTTTTCCCTCCACCACCACCACCACCACCACCGCCACCACATTTCTATTATTTTTCCTCCACCACATTTCTATTGTTTTCCCTCCACCACCACCACCACCGCCACCACATTTCTATTGTTTTCCCTCCACCACCACCACCACCGCCACCACATTTCTATTGTTTTCCCTCCACCACCACCACCACCATCACATTTCTATTGTTTTCCCTCCACCACCACCACCACCGCCACCACATTTCTATTGTTTTCCCTCCACCTGATTCTATAAAAGACTACCAACTGCCATTCTTAGTTCATTTTGTAGCAATGTCTCGTGTAGTGAACAACAATCGTGGTTTTCTTCAGCTGTTAGCTGCTTGTCCCGCTTATCAGCGTCAGTTTCTTTTAAAGACAGCTACACCACAGCAACTTCATGCACTAGTCCAAGTCTTATACAATTTACGCATGGGACACATTCCTATCTCCGAAGAAAATAAGCGGGTATTGCTGCCATATAAGGATGCTTTACTTAACCTGGCCAGTCCAAATGTCCCTTTCAAAACAAAGAAGCGAGTCCTTGTTCAAGAGGGTAGTGGTTTTATTGAAGATGTATTAGCCCCTGTCGTTTCAAGCTTAGGATTTCTAATGCTATAAAAGAGGTGACACATCGCTAGGTTGATCATTCGAAGCTAAGTCTGTCACGGGTGCTCATCAAAAATGAAGAGAAAGATAGATTTGGTTGAAGAAGAAGATCACGAGAGTGAACATGAAGAGAGCGAAAGTTCTGGTGATGAAAGCGAGGATGAAGAACCAAGAATAAAAGAAGAACCGAGAATAAAAGATGTTTTGAGTCATCTTTTCCGAGCAGTGCCTGAAAAGCGTGCTTCTGATTTGCTGCATAGTATGGCTGCGTCCAAAGATATTCTTTTCTGGACCCCCAGCGGACAATTACTTCGAAATAAACGCACTATTCCCGTCACAAACATCGCTGAGCTAGTTGAGTATGTGTTACTCCCTCATAACAATGAGGTTACCAAGCCTCGTGCGCTGAATACATTTCTAGATGGACTTGCAGAGTTAGGAATCGATAAAGGTTTAATCAAGAACAAAAAGTTGTTAAGTGATTTAATAGAAAAGGAAAAAGGCTACCAAAATGTAGAAAATACTTCTGATAACGAGAGTAATAATGAGGAGAGTTCATCGGATATTGAAAATCAGGAGGAGGAGGAGGAAGTGGCTTCTGAGAATGGCATTGAAGCGGAAGACACCCAAGAGAGCGACAACGACACTGAAAACAACAGTCAGGAGATAGAAAGTAGTAACCCTGAAACGTCCACCACCTTTCACTCCAAAAGTCCCTGTGAACACTGCGAAAACTCTAGTGTGTACGGGACATTGATCATGAAATGTCCTAAATGCCTTTGGCACGATTACTACAAGATTTGTCCTATATGCGATCACCAGATTCCCGAGGGGAGACATTACATGAAAGAGGGCTTTCTTCGATGTCACGATTGCGGAGCAGTTACACACAAAAACGCGAAGACGTTGGAAACCAACTTCTATTCCCCTTCTACAGAGGAGAAAGAAGATGAAGATTAATTAATTTCCATTCCTGTGTATTTGACTCTTTTTGTCATTGTTTTTTAATAAATTTTTTTAAAACGATACATCTCTTGTCTTTTTATTGCTAGCAATTATGAGTCGCGTGTTTTAATTGATCCTTGTTAAGTTATTTGTTTGATAATAATACGTCAAGGTTCTCTCTTGGGGTTTTTTCCTGTAGAGCTAATTTGTATTCAACTTTGGGCTTGTGAACTCGCATAATTAACTGATTAACAGCGCGTGAAAATGACAAGACTTTCATTTCCTCGAGATAGAAAGGAGAAAATGTCAGACAAACTTGAAATAAAGAGTTTTCAGCTCCAATTTGTGTATGTTTTGTTTATATATATCCGAGTTTTAGCGCTAAATAAGAAGACGTAAACTAAATTGAAATAAAGACTTTTCAACTCCCTTTGTGTTTATGTATATCTGAGTTTTAGCGCTAAATAAGATATAGGAAGCCGTTTCTCGCGTTGCTAGGTGATCGTTTCTCTTATTCCTATTTTTCTTTTAATAGACGGTCCGAAACCGGGCTCAAGTTACTTACCGGGCAAGTCTAGGCAAGCCTATTGTTCCTATTGTAGTAGAGTGACGCTCATTAGTAAACCTAATCCAAATTAGTATGTAGGTTATAACAATGGGTGACGTCATTGACTAGGCACCTAATCCACCTAATCCATCGCAAGGCTTATCTTTCCTGAAGCCCTACTACTATGTACATAATACTATGTACACTTATACCCAGGTCAGAGATGCCTTTTCGTATTTTTACCCGAAACGTAAAGTTTTGGCTGATGGAGTTAGCACCACTCCACTCGACATTTAAAGTGTTCAAGTTTGTAAAAAATGGATTTTGTAAATAATTTTCGTTTTCTCAAGTTTGTATTATATTACTATCAAAAATAGTTTTCAGAAATATTTACATAAGATTGCTTCTAATTGTAAATAGTATGTTTGCGTAGCTTTTCACGGATGTTTGTACATAGCAAATTAGTTTGTAAATAAACAAAGTTGGCAGAATTTAACCATGGCTTGATCTCTGTCTAGCAACGCGCGCGACCCACGCGCGATCCCACGCGCATCCTTGGGGAAAGCACAGCGCTAAAAATGGCCCTCGAGGCCCGTGTGGCCCGAATGGCCTGATATATTTCGTGTTCTAAATCATTTTGTTCAGTTTTAGTTCATCTTTCATACCCTAAACATGAAGAGGAAATGTAAACATTGTCCCATTCCTGGTTGTGGATCCAAATTTTTAGTAAGATTAGCAAATCATTTAAGTCAGGTTCACGAGTTATCGGACATAGAACGAAAATATTGGCTTCAATTTGCAAAATTACAAAATACCAATGCGATTCGTGTGTATGACAAGGAGGCTGAACCCAAAACAATTTTTTTCTATAAGTGAGAGTACGCACAAATCAGTTAATCAGTTGTGATCATGGACCCGAGATGGAAACATCCTTTCCCCGCGCTTGTGGCCGGCCCAACATGTTGTGGGAAAAGTCAGTTTGTAAAACGTTTACTAGAAGCAGGAGAAGACATGATTGATGGTGCCCCGGAAAAAATCATCTGGTGTTATGGCATGTATCAACCAGCCTACGATGAGATGCTTAAAACTATTCCGAACATTATGTTTGTGGAAGGAGTGCCTGGTGATCTGGAAACCCTAATTAATCCCTCTATTCGGAATTTAGTCGTCATTGATGACTTAATGCACGAGCTTAGCAATGATCAGCGAATGACTATTTGTTTACCAAGGGCTGTCACCATCGCAATCTCAGCGTGATCTTTATTCTTCAAAACATGTTTCATCGTGGAAAAGAACTGAGAGATATGAGTTTGAATTCTCATTACTTAGTGGTGTTCAAAAGCCCGCGTGATAGCAGTCAAGTCAATCATTTAGCAAGACAAATGTTTCCCGGTCATGTCAAATACATGCAAGAAGCGTTTGAGGATGCAACAAAAAGGCCCTATGGTTATTTATTTTGTGATCTTAAACCGGAAACACCTACCGACTTCCGGCTGCGTACGAATATTTTCCCCGGGGAGACTCAGTACGCTTACGTCAGAAAAGTATAAAAAGCGTGAACCACATCAAATTTCTTCAGTTGAGGATGGCACAGCGACTGAGAAAGAACCACGATTTTCTGAAACTGCTTGTCAAGTGTACCCCAGCTCAGCGTAAAGCTATTTTGAAGGTGGCAGACGACGCTTTAGTAAGAACCATTTGCGAGTGTGTTTTAAACGTGCTTAAAGGAACAGTGCCTGTCAGTAAACCAGCCAAGAAAAAGCTTTTACCTCACAAGAAATCTTTGATCGCTTTAGCCGAAAAAAGTACACCACTCGATAAGAAAAAGAAATTGTTGGTACAACACGGAGGAAATTTTTTAAGTGTTTTGTTACCTCCCGTTCTCCGTGTGTTAAGTTCGATTCTTACATAAAATGAATCACACAAAGCGTATGGTTCTCGTGCCCGAGAACACCTTGGAAAGATTACAGCAGCGCCAGCAGATTTTAACCCCACCCGTCACACAAACTCTGAGAAACTTGGATAGTGAAATGACCGATATTTTATCCAGTAAAGAACTTGATGATGAACAAAAAGCTAGGCTTTACAATCAAGTGTTGCAGCGGTACTTGACTTATTACGATCAGCGAAAAGGTCAACCTCTTCATGTGAAAATATCAACCCCCAAAGCAGTAGAAACACCTAAACCAGAAGAAAATGAACAACCTTCGGAAGAACCTGTACCGGAAAAATTTACTTCATCAGCCGTAGAGGCAGAGGTCATGAAAAGTGTACCCAAAATTTACAAAGCCGGGGCTAGACAATTGTTGGATAAAATTGAAGAGCATCAAGATGTATTGCATTGGAATGATAAAGGAGAGCTTTTGTATGAAACCAAACCCATTCCAGGTTCTCATCTGGTGGACCTAGTCAACGACACATTGCGCCGCCGCAAAGGATGTGAACCAGTAGGATGGTCGGTGTTTGCGAGGGGTCTGGCCCGAATGAATGTCCCGGAAAATCTAGTGCGTAATCCACAGAGGCAAAGTGCTGTTCGAGAATTTAAAGCAAGGGTGAGAGACGAAACCCCTAACAGTCCTTCCCGTTGGCTACCTAGCCCACCTGTGACGGTATCCCCCGTGAAAAAACAGCGGCGAAGATATGCGAGTCCACGCCCTGAGGCTGTGCGCTGGTTACGATTATAAAATCACCACAAGAGACATTATTATATTGTATTGTATTGTAAATCATCTCTTTATTTTGTTCACTCAATAAAAGATGTTGAAACGAAATTACAAGGTGTTTATTTATTGAACTTTGTGCTGTACTTGTGCTCTTTGCTTGTTTACATCAGTGCGATATTTCGGAAGACTTATAGGAAAATGTGTTTCAATAAATCGCTTGACAAGACTATCATTTTTACGTGTGTTATTAGAAAAACGATGCACAATTGTACTCATACTTATTTGCCGACTACGATATAAAGCAAAATACAAACAGTAATGTCCGCAGACTTTGGAATAGATGCTCTGTAATGTCACAGTATTAAAAATCCACTGGTTAGAATTCTTGTTTAAAAAGGTAGTAAATGTTCCTGAATATTTGCTGGGAGGTGCTCCGTAAGAATCGAAAAATTCTCCCTCTTGCTCCTTGGTGAAATAAAACGCCACCCAATGCGAACCTGGCTTGTCACTCGTATCCACATTGGCAATGTATAAGGCTGGGTATTGCGAAACACTTGCAGGTAGCTTGTCTGAGGGATACACGCCTTGAAACACACCTCGTGTAAATTTATCCTTTCTCAAAATAAGGGTCAGTTGAATGGTGTCCATTTCTAGTTTGTGTAGTCGTAGAGAACGTTTCGGTTTGCGTCGACCTCAATCACGTTTTGAAATTGAGCGTAGACGATAAGGTTAACCGTGTTGGCGAGTGCTTCCGAGAAATGAAGCTCCAAGCGCAGGTTTCCTTGTTTTATGAGCTCAAAATGATCTCCCGGGCAATGATCTGGGGTCAAATCAAATGCGAATAAGGTGTAACCAGAGCCGTAATCACTTCTATTTATCTGATTGCCCGTATCCTGGGAAAGCTTTCCAATACCAGAGAAAAGACTTTGATAGCCGGCTATCACATTTTGACCACCAGCGGCGTCAAACTTCAGGAACAAAGGTTTTCGGGGGATTTGTTCTCCGTCCAGGTACACACCCACTTGAGTTAAATTGTGGTGATTGAAGTTGAAGGGGTTGGTACGGTAACTCCCATTGTAAGCCTCTGTGTCCACTAATCCCAATACTATGCGCTTGGGAATTTGACCCAAAAAGATGTTGTCAGGGTTAAAACTACTAAATCCTCTTGGAATAGAGAGTACTTTACAGTCGATTCTGCGAATGGGGTACTTGGCGCTGGCGTGTTTTAGCCCAGCTGCATGGCCTAGGATGATAGAAGAGGCAACCTTGACTCTGCGTACAAACAAGATGGCTTCTGTGATAACCACTTTGAAATTAGCTCCGGCTGCTGAGGACACAAGACAAAACACATTCTTGGCTCGGTTTAGTTTGATTCTTAAATTAACTCCATTGAGCATCAACCGGTCTTGAAAGAATATATCACTGTGAATGGGTCCCATCATATCCACCGTATGACTCTCTTTCACAAACTCATAACGAGCCTTTAATCCAAGGTTTGCTTCATCGTCTGCAGCCAAGGGGTTCACTACATTCATCTTTCCAGCAGTATCTTTGTAAAACATGGCCATAGAAAGTTGACTTGTTTTAGCTTGTTCCCCGTAGTTCAGCAAAGACTCGATCATGGCACGATAGGGGTAAGTATTAGTGGATGCAGATATAAGTCGCTCATTCAAGGAAACGTCTACTTGTGAAAACAGAGAATGTAAAAACAGGTTTACGGGACCCACTTGTGTATCGGCATCTAACGCGGTTCCGTTTGCTTTCGTAATCTTAGCTTTCACATAAAGTTGTGTACGCGCTAAATCTAAATATTCTTCTCCGGTTCCAGATACGTTAAATTCAATAGGACCAGTGTCCGTGATGTTGCTGAGAGGGTGATATTCAATCCATTGCCTTTTGTGAATAGAGGTTTGTGTAGCAGGAATAGTAAAAAGATCCAGCTCTGATTTCGTACACTCGCGTGACTCGTGATGCACAAAGGCCATAGTTACTTCCAGAAAGAATATTTCTCTTCGGGCTTCTTTTGCTGCGGAGATGTTTTTGCTTTCTTGCCTGGAGGCGAACTGATTTTGGCTCCCTGCGCTTTCCTTTTTATAGATTTTTTGCCAGCTCCTGATTGTCCCTGCAATGCATTCTGGGAGGGTAGACCGAGGGCTTGTTTCGTGCGCTTGTGGACTGCTGTTTTAATGTTATCTCCTTCAAGAACATCTTGGGCGACATTGACACCCGTTTGTAAAGCTTTTCTTCCAATCACCTTAGCACCTTGTTGCAGGTGAGGCATCGCCCAGCGGAACAGACCTTTAAATATCGAACCTAAGCCATACCCTCGCTGAAATCGAGCTCCATGAAATGCGGGTAAATTCCCACCTTTTTGTTTGGCTTGATCTACATAGTACTGTTCGTAAAGCTTATGATTTGGGGCGTGGAGTTTTTTCATTTTTTAAAAGTACTGAGGTTGACTCTGACGAAAATGAAGTGTTAACAACACTCTTCCAAACTCAAATGGCACAGATTCCCCTGTGTCTCGCTTTATATTGACTTCGATGGTTTCAAATTGCTTTCTGCTGACAGTTACATATTGAGGGCGCAAAAACGATTTACTAACTCGCTGGCCGTCCTCTCCTTCTACGGGAACAATTCGAAGCAAAGGGACCAGTGCATCGCCAACATATTGTGACTGAATAAGATCACAGTAAACGAAAAGATCGTGAAAGCCGTATTCCAAATCCACTTGTCTGTCCCCCTTGGTGGTCTTTGAAATAATTTGTTCGGGGGTGAACCCCAGCATATAGGCCATATCATTTAGCGAGACTTCTGCGTTGTTTTTCAAGTGAACTGTAACCTTTCTGCTGAGATTATCGTATGAAAACCGTACATCATCTGTATACCGATTTTCATTGTCCACTAACTCTTTCATCTTTTGAAGGACATCCTCGACGGAAGAATAATGACCCGGAAGCATCTCCAGGGAATCCCAAACACCGTGGAGTTTTTCATTTCGAACGTAAAATCGAAACTGTTGAATATTATTCCAACTATGCGGATAATGGATCTCGGTCAAAGCCACTTCCCATTCGCCTGTGAGGTTTAGGGTTTGTGGTAAACTAACTCGGTATTCTGTTAATGTGTTATGAGGAAATTTATCAAGACTGCTATTGCTAGGGAGATGCAGATAAAACTGTGTTACCTCCATCGTACCCTGTGTTGAAATGAACTTTTTAATCTGGGTATTCTTACTTTATTAGAAACCGCACACCATTCATTTTATTATTTCCTTTTCTTTTATTCACTACACAAAAAACGCATAAATTACAACTTCAAAATATCACTTTCTTGAACCCAGGAATCAAATTTTGGGTCTTCGTATCCTTTCCATCTCACAAGATACTCTACTACGCCTTTACGCTTTCTCTTCCGCAAAATCTTTTCGACGCGGTACACATCATCGTCCTTAATAATTTTCTGCAGTTCAGGCTCATAAAATGTTCCATCTAAGATTTCACCTGCATCATCTTTTAATTTATAAACGGGTACTTGACGAGTCATTCGCTTGTAAACAGTAAAAATTTCTTCCGTAAAATTAGGTAAGTATGATTTTTCAAACATTCTCTTTACTTTGCTAATCCTGACGCGATCTCCCACTTGAAATTTAAATCGCACAGGCTTTTGAACATCATCCCCATACAAAGTATCCCACACTTGAGCTTCATTCGTTTTAGTCACCTGACTCGGTTTCATTTTAATACTTCGGTGGTAGGTGTTATTGTAAGAAGATACTAACTGGGGTAATACATTGATATAGGTGAGAGTGTTTTTGGCCGTGAAATATTTGTACATCTTATTCTTAAATGTTCGGTTAAAACGCTCAACCACTGAGGCTTTGAGCCCAGAGTTAACAGTAAAAAAGTCAATGTTGTTGTCACGCAGAAATTTCTGGAACGCACGATTTAGGAACTCTGTTCCCTGATCCGTCTGCAGTTTGGTAGGTTTTCGACCAGTAGAAAAGATCTTTTGAAAGGCTTTGACCAGTTCTTGACCTTGTTTTGTCTTCAAAGGTAACACAAAAGCGTACTTGCTGAAGATATCTATACAAGTCAGTAAGTATTTATAACCCTTGTTGTAGCGACTGAGATTTTGAAGATCGACCAAATCCGCTTGAAATTGGGCATCTATTCCAGGAACGATGACTCGGCTTCTCTTGTAACGTCTTCGCGCGGGCTTGTGAAGAGTATAAACATCTTGCTGACTCAACCATTCTCGGACTTGTTTACGCGATATCTTGTTCTTTCCTTTCTCTTTAACTGCTCTGTAAACAGCATCTAAACCACCGAAACTTGCGGGTTGACTTGGGTCGAGATAAATGCTGGTCAGTGTTTTCTCCATCACAGAACTCGGAATTTTGTACGACCACTCTACCACCACAGCAGGCTAATACGCAACGAATGCGGCTAAAGATGTGTTCAAATCCAAAACTGGACGAAGGAGGACAGCAACCCATCGCTGATGATCGCTATGAAAGTTCAAGCCCGAATGATTTCTTTCCTCTTGGTGTTTACTTATATAGCTACTCTCGAATCTGGGTGAGAGTGGGCACGAGAAAATTAAATAATAGTTCCCATTCCTCCTCGGTTAATTCTAGCTGATCCGCGAAGTTCAAAAATACCACCAATCGTCCCCAGTTTACTTTTGAAAAGACCTCAGAGTGGAGTTTTTTCAACTTTTCTAGACTCGAGCCCGGCATATCTTTAACTTTTTGTTGAAGCATTTCCATTTCACTTGAAGACACTTTCAACGTTTTGGCTTGTGCGTGATACAGAGAAAAGTCGACTCGAAGCAAAGACAGAGAAAGCCCCATCTTGACAAAGACAGAGACAAACACACACTGACTCACAATTTAGATATAAACAAATTTTATTACTTTTAGAAACAAAGCTTATTTTGAATGTCATTAATTATCAAGTCAAGGTCCATTGGTTGTTCATCTTTCCTCACAACTCTCTCAGGGCATTGCACTTCAACTTGGCTGTCAATATCCACAGCACTGGGATCTTTGTACTTCAGTCCACAGGGTCCGTAGTAAATAGCATACAGAATTCGATCTTCTAACTCACCGTAATCTTCGAGTTCCAAGGACGTGAGATAGATGTTAGTCCAAGGCAGCTTTGGTAATTCGGTCACGTACGCTTCCCACGTTTTGCCAAGTTTGAAACCAAGAGCACTGCACACACTTTCAGCCGTTTTTAAGATAACATTGAGGTCAACTTGTTCCATCACTTCATCATGGTAATACATCCATGCGTCATCATTATCCATCACCAGGCAAGAATGTTGGTTTTGACTTGGGTGTTGAATAGCACAACCGTGGCAGCGATTCAGCTTTTGTTCTTGGATGAGTTTGTCAACCGTAGCCGCATAAGTCAGTTGGAACACATGACCGATAAGGCTAGCTACCCATTGACGTTGGACTTTTTCCACTTCATCTACTGTCAGAAGCGGTGTAGCGCTCGATTCGACTTGCATGTTTGGAGTAATATTGGTGATAATAAGACTTTTTCCTTAGCAAAGCGATTGCAAGAATAAAATGCTGACGGGAAAGCGCGCTTTTATGTTGAACACATAATAGATTCTACATGAGCCAATCAGGGTTAAAAGAGCCCGGGCAAGTCTAGGCAAGCCTATTGTTCCTATTGTAGTAGAGTGACGCTCATTAGTAAACCTATCCACTTCATTATATATGAAGGAAGGCACTTAATTAGTATGTAGGTTATAACAATGGGTGACGTCATTGACTAGGCACCTAATCCACCTAATCCATAGGCACCTAATCCACCTAATCCATCGCAAGGCTTATCTTTGCTGAAGCCCTACTACTTATGGATCCCTGGAAAAACTCTTTCCCTATAAATTATCTTCTTGACCCTATCAAATTCAGTTGATATTAGATAACCTATATTGCAGTTGTACTGGTTATAAACAGATGTGATTGGCTCCAAAGAGGGTCTGAATGGGGGGTCCATTTCTCGGTTGTCGGTTAAAATTCAGTTACTTTGTCGGTAGTCGGTTAAAATTTTCGATCTTTGTCGGTAGTCGGTTAAACTTCTTGATTTTTGTTGGTTGTCCGAAAGTCTCAGTTAATAAGTAAAAACGCTTGTTAATTATTATATTTTTATGCATTTCACCAAGTTTCAAGACTTTCATCCCAAGGGAAAGAGTAAAACTTGTAAGAATGCATCATTTGATTGCCACTTAAACTTCATTAACTCTTGTTTGTTTATGCAACATGATCATCAGGAGCCGATCGGCTCCTGTGGTCGTTTATTTCACCATTGTTTGCCAAATGAATATCATGCGTACTGATAAGATCACCAAACCTTTTACTGTAAATGCGAACTTGGTTTCCCTGTCGATTACACGGCACAGTAAAAAGTAATTAATTAATTAATGGACACCAGCCTTTTGGATACCTAAATTATCAGCTTAGTGGAAAACTGCAAGGGGTGACGGGCTGCACATCTATCCTTTGCCATAAGTTTCCTTCCTCAAAGAAATAACACTTTAACCCTCGGACATACAAGGAGTGGGGGGTGGATGCCACCCCCTTTTCTGGGATTTTTCCAAGAGGATAACACTTCAGCACCTGAGGTTTTCAGTAGATGTTCGTTTATCCCTCGCACGCATTTTGAGAAAAGTTCAGTGATGATCAGTTTCTATGGTTACGAGGTATGACGTAATAAGTAGCAGGTTGTCAAGCCATTTTGAGTGAAAATATATGTTTTTTCCAACTTTTTTCAACAATAAAAGAAAAATCTTGTAGCTAAAATCATGCAAAGTGCTTATTTATGTGTTATTATTCATGTCAAGCAATAAACATTTCTCTGTTTTAACCTGTTTTGTAATTCTTTGTAATATCCAAGATGGCGGCAAAGATGGCGACCATCATTGGTGACGCAACAGGCCTCCAGCAGTGCCACCATTCATAAAATATACCTCATCTTGTTAAGAAGATCAAAGGCTTTTCAGTGAAGGCAAAATCGCTTCGAAATACTGCAACATATCAAAAACTCTGGGGAGGGGTTCCATCTACCATCCTCTTGTACCATGGTGGGGGTTACGATTTTGCGTGTACGTCTGAGGGTTAAGTTGGCAAGGTAGTGGTTGGTTTTGTATGAGATTACACTTTTACATTAAAGTTTCTTTTATAATAGACACTAAGGGCTTGTATTGTGTCACAAAAGGCAATATTTCTTTTTCTTCCTTGTTGTTTTGTTTCAGGAGCGCTGCTTTTCTCCTGTGAGTTTTACTTCTAATAGCAATTTTTATTTCAAAATTATGTAGCCAGCCTCTGTCCATCAACCGCTTTTTGAAATCTGAAATACTTCCTCAGAGGAGTTTGTTCGTAGGATACTCAAGGCCAAATCCATTGGTCAAATCCATTTTAACATTCGGTGGGTGGTAAGAGGTGAAAATGTATATACGTCTTAACGTCAATGATAGCTTTTTCTCATTTTTCGTTGAATGTTGTGCCTTGGTATACAACGGGGTCTAAAAAGATTGTCTCAGTGTGACATATTTCAGGCGTAAATTTCATAGCCAGTAGAGCAGTAGGGGGAAGTAAGTTTACTTGTTCCGTGAATTTGAAGAAATCTACCATGTCTGGTTTACTTATGTCCCATAGGGAAAAAAATATCATCTATGTAGCATTTTCAAACAGTTGGTTTAAAGACGGTTTTGCTTAAACTTTGTGTTTCAATATCTGCGGCCATGAAAATGTTGGAAAGGAAACTGCTGTATGTGCTCATTGCGGTACTGTGGTTTCTTACTGATAGCGCTTTCCATAATTAAACTGGAAATAATTTTCTTTCAGGATTAATCTAAACATTTCTCGGACCGAATCAAGAAATGTTCAGTTTTTTCAGCTTTGTCTTTTCAATAAAATATATTAAGTCGGTAGCATCTTTAAGGACTGTGGCTTCTGTGATTATGATATTGGTTGTAGTAATGTAGCCGTATCAGCAAAAGAGTAAGTTCTTTCTGTTAGACCATCTGATGAGTCATAAATTTAAAGAGGTTACTTCCTAACGGCTGGAAAAAAATGCAAAATGCTCTTTTTTTTCTGAAACAAATATTGATAATGTCAGCCCATGTCGGTAGTCGCTTAATATTTTTCCTGTCGGTAGTCGGTAATTTTTTACTCGTTTTGTCGGTAGTCAGTAATATTTTTAGCCCTTTGTCGCTAGTCGGTTAACCCCATTCACACCCTCTCCAAAGCATTGTGTTTCTTTCACCCACAAATATTAAAATTATATAAAGTGGTTATACTCAATAACCTTTCCAAGTATGTGCATGAAGTTAACAATACATACATTAAATGCAGCTGCAGTTTCCAGTGGCAGGACACCTCGCCTGGGGGGCTGTGATGGTATATCTGCAAATATAATTAAATGGATGGAAGCCTTTCCTATGACCAGCACTACAGCAAATGCTACCATAGAGGTTTTAAGAGCTCTGTTTGCTCGATATGGATTGCCACATGAATTGGTCAGCAGTGATAATGGTCCACAATTTGTTGCTGGAGAGTTCAAGTCATTTTTAAAGATGAATTGCATCAAGCACATATGTATACAATTTATGTCCCTCATGTCATCCCTCCACTAATGGTTTAGCTGAGAGACATGTGCAGACCTTCAAGGCCATGTATCAGTCTTGTACTGATAAGGGGTCAGTTCAGCACAGGGTGTCTAATGTTCTCTTCCGCTACAGAAACACACCCGGCACACCACAACAGAGAAGACTTCTGCACACTGTTTTTGAAGAGAGAACCCAGGACACACCTCTCCTTGGTGAAACCCAGTTTACAAAGGCATGTAGAAAAGAAACGAGTTGCTTCAAAATTATACAGGGATGGGCTGTAACCAGTTAGAGTAAAATACACCAGGGGAGTCAAGGAGAAGTGGATATCGGGTACAATTATGGCTGTGAAGGGTCCAAAAACCTATACCTAGTTCGAGTTCCGGGTAATGATCGTTGCTGTGTGCATGCTAATCACTTGATACCTGATGATGCCAGAGGCATGAGTGCCCATAAGGAAATCGTCACACCAGAAATGGTAGAGCATAATCCACCCGTACATTTTCAGAGGGAACCTGTCGTTCCCAAAACAAGGTTAGGAATTCAGTCTGTAGTAGACAATGAGATTTCTCCTAAGTCTAGTGTTATTGCTGTACCTGTTGTTGATGATCATAGTAACGTAGAGATCGGTAACAACTCTGGACTTCGCAGTCCAGACCAAGTCAGGTTACCAAACCTGCCATGCCTAGTCACTCTGAGTCCAGACCATGTCAAGTGTTTACGCATTCAGGACGGGTGGTCAATTGTCTAGGCAAATTAGATTTATAGTTTTTCTTTGTAAGTTGCGTTGATTGTTATGAAAACTGTATAAGGAGGAGGAAATGTGGTATTTTGGGTAGTGTTAATGCCCGGGTGTTAATGATATATGAAATAAATCATATATGAACTGCGGAAATGAAATGAAAATGAAGAAATGATCGTCGCAGTGAACCCAATTTCTGAGCAATTTATGCAATTGCGTAAAGAAACCTGAAAAAAATTCAGGACTTCAACGGGGTTTGAACCCGTGACCTCGTGATTACCGGTGCGATGCTCTACCAACTGAGCTGTGAAGCCACTGACGTTGGGAGCAGGTCAATTGTGGGTGCAATTCATATGTTCCCGTGAAAGAAATGAGTGTTAATGATATATGAAATAAATCATATATGAACTGCGGAAATGAAATGAAAATGAAGAAATGATCGTCGCAGTGAACGCAATTTATGCAATTGCGTAAAGAAGCCTGAAAAAAAATATACTGAATTTTTTCGGGCTTCTTTACGCAATTGCATAAATTGCGTTCACTGCGACGATCATTTCTTCATTTTTCAATTTGGGTAGTATTGGTCACGTGATGTAAGATAACGTAAGAAGGTGAAATAAACAGTTGCCAGATATGTTCTTGGTATTCGCACGTGTCTTTGTTTGTTCCTCATTGTTCGCTTCTAAAACCCTTCAGAATACAAAACCTTACATTCCCTATAAATAAATAACAAATACATAAAAGACCTTATTTAACTGCAGCTAGCAGTTTTAAGCCCAACAAAACTAACAGGGGACGTATGAAATGTTAGACGGTTTGCTTAAGCATGGAGAGTTGGCTGTATGTTCGACGCGTTCTTATTTGCACGCGAAAAATTATTAAACGAATAACTAATGAAACAAAACGTGAAACCAAATAAAGTACATGATGAACAAATTCTTAAGTGGCAAAGTTACGACAAAAAATGTTTAAGCGATAAGAATCAGGTACCTTTATATATGAAAAGAATGATTTCTTTGTGAACTGCTATGGAAATAAATTTGTCGATGTTTACCATATATAAATGACAGGGCCAGTATCAATTTTTACTATGAAGCAGCTGCAAATTTTGAGATTCTTAAAGGGCACATCATAAATTGTAACTGTAGAGGAAACAAAGAAGAAATTCTCATCGATACTCGACAAATCGTCCATTAAACCGGACACGCATTAAAGTTTTGCGCTGAGAGTGAATATTCGTTTAAATGTGTTCCGTTTAGCGCAAGCACATGTGTCGCCGACAAAGGCGGGAAAAGTTTCTCACATCTCCTGCTTTCACCATTGAAAACTTCCAAAATATATTGAATTGAAGTTAAAGCATAATTGAAGATTATTTTATTTTCACTCTTTGGTATATTGTTTGGTATTTAATAAGATAGAGCCACATGTCACAATTACTCTAGTAATGTGTAACAGGGGTTTGAAGTCGATCATAATTTAACAAAATGCCTGTTAATTCGAAGAAAAAATGTTTTGAAACCATGTAGAGGTACGCAGTGTTTTTTGTTCGGCGGCTGCGAGAAAAAAAACTTGCTATCAGACAGTAGGAAAAGTTGCATCTCAGCAGGTTTAAAACGCAAAATTTCTAGGCTCGCTTTCAAGCTCTTTCTGGGAGATGGGGAAAGGGCTCTGCACTTTCAAAATATTCTCCAGTTACTTTACACTCTTCTCCCCAGCTGCTACTGCAATTCTTAATGAAACCCCTGATTTTATGAAAAGGCGGAAGACAAAGAATTGACATGAATGTTTGGACTTCAGACTTCAGTAGGCTGTTTTTTTTTCCGACTTGTCTCACTTGTCTCACGCGCTTAAAACATGGTTCAAGTTATCAAGGGTAAAATTTTATAGAGATGATCTGAGGAGACAAAAGTTACTCCTAGTTAGCAAGAGGTTTGAGTTATTGAGGGTTTGATTTACGGAGGGTAAAATTGCAGTAAATGTGTGAAGGAAATCAACTTTGGTTCTAGTTAGCGCGAGGTTCGAGTCAGCGCGAGGTTCAAGTTAGCTAATATAGGGTTCAAGTTATTGGGAGTCAACTGTGCAGATTAAAAAATTAGGAGGTCTTCGTTTTAGGGTCTGCGTCTTCGGGGGTCTCCCCAATTTTTCTTGGGTCTTCGTTTTTGGGTCTGTGTTTTGGAACTTAGGTCTTCGTTTTCGGGGGTCTTCGCTTTTGAACCAACCATTTAACAATTATTCTTTGAAATCGAGGTGAATAGTGGCAAAATATTTACCGAGACGCGAAAGCAGCGAAGTAAATATTCCCAAAGCCACTATTCACCGAGATTGAAAAGAATAATTGTTTTAGTATATACACACGAAGTGATCTCAACAAAATCAGAGAGGAAACCATTCAAAAGTACGATTTGATTGACAGATCAGTTCACGCGTAAGTTTAAAAATAGATCTTTGCAGAAATTTCAAACATGGCAATTCACAAGTTTATCATTTCGCAAACAACAGCGTAATGGCTTAAATGGAACCGCTAAAAGTTTGAACTGTTTCCTTACCTGGGAAGAAAAGTAGAGCTGTGTTGTTTTCTGTTGACTCGCCAAGTGTTTAGCCAAAAGGGTTTGTTGTGTCGTTCTTCGCATGAAGTGCTGACAAAAATGGCGGCTCAGTTGCTCGAGGTAAGACGTCGCCTTTCTGTATCATTCTTTTTCCTGTTTACTTGAAACGTAGAATTTCTGCAAACATTTCCTTTTAAATTTGTTTGTCATAAATAAACTTCGATTTTTGAGCCAAAATTTTCTTCTTAGAAAACGCTGAGTTCACGCAACGGCTTCTTCTACGCGAATACACGGGAGTTGTAAACAATCCATCGAGCACAAAACTCCTGCTACAGTAAATTGAAAAACGCCGTATTGAATCCTTCCAAGTCTTTTCTTGCCTTAAAAAAAGTCAGCCCTAGGATTCTGTCGACTTTTAAAAGATCGTTCTCTAAAAAATGGGAAAAACACTGAGCTCACACATTATCCACTCGCTAGGAGGTGAATATTGTTGATTATTAAAAACTGAATCATTGGATAATGCAGTTCTAGCATTTTGATTGGCTTAGCCGTTATGGTATATGAGCTAATATACCATGTTCTCCATATATGGTCGGTGTACGCGTCAGTTTAAAATTGGAAGCTAGCTGAGATTTTTTTTTGCGAAGGATAGAACGGCGCCCGAAGCAAATCGTTTTAATTCATTTCTTAGAATACTAGAAATGCAATTTCAACGAAAGAAAAAAGACAAAAACAAACAAAAAAGCCACAAGAGCTTGTTTGAAAGTTTGTCGAAAAACACATGAAAACACATGGAACTAAAGTACCTTGACCAGCTACGAAAGAAGACAAGTGTTGTTTCTTCATGATCGCGAAGCCATTTGCCGATCGAGTCACTCGCCGATAGATAACTGCAGCTTGTTTATCCGACATCAAGAATACAAATCACAAGAAACCAGCAACAAATACAGGCTATGCAGCCATTCACTAGAGCAATCGAGGCGGCAGTATAGCTTCTTTTCTCGTTCAGCAAAACCAGCTTGTGGCTTCAAACAACTTCATAACAAGCGACCGAGGCAATACCGGTAGTTTTTCTCCGTTGTTCTTACTTTGATAACTGCCCCGAAAATCCAAATTCATAGTAATTTCGACGGCTGTCACCTAAAAATTCCTTTCCTTCACATTATCTGCCAGGTTTTTTAAGCTGTTCTGCTGTGTAAAATCCTAGAATCACGATGAGTTTTTAAAAAACTAATGTTCATCGCTACAATGTTTTGATTTTTCATTCATGCAGTCCAGGCGAGTCCGTTCGCGCGTTGACAGTTTTGATAGACGTGTGACATGTGAATAGCGGAAGTCCCTTGTCTTTTCCGGTTTGTTCTAGTCGGGGCGATTCAACGAGATTTTGTGGGCGTTTTTAATAAAACAATTATTCCACTCGGGCTTGTTGGATATGAAATGATTATAGCCAACTCGGCGCTATGCGCCTCGTTGGCTATCTATCATCTCATATCCAACGCGCCCTCGTGGAATAATTGTTAAATAGTCCGAGATAGCGAACCAATCAGATTGCTTAAATCACCAAGATCACTGAGTGTGTATATACTAATAATCCATATCCATTTGATACATTGAAAGACTTATTGGCATAGTGGTTTCAACTGGTCAGTCAATCAGTCAATAATTAACAATTATTCTTTGAAATCGAGGTGAATAGTGGCAAAATATTTACCGAGCCGCGAAAGCGGCGAGGTAAATATTCCCAAAGCCACTATTCACCGAGATTGAGAAGAATAATTGTTTTAGTATATACACACGAAGTGATCTCAACAAAATCAGAAAGGAAACCATTCAAAAGTAGGATTTGATTGACAGATCAAATCACGCGTAAGTTTAAAAATAGATCTTTGCAGAATTTTCAAACATGGCAATTCACAAGTTTACTCATTTCGCAAACAACAGCGTAATGGCTTCAATGGAATCGCTAAAAGTTTGAACTGTTTCCTTACCTGAGAAAAAAAGTAGAGCTGTGTTGTTTTCTGTTGACTCGCCAAGTTTATAGCCAAAAGGGCATGTTGTGTCGTTCTTCGCATGAAGTGCTGACAAAAATGGCGGCTCGGTTGCTCGAGGTAAGAGGTCGTCTTCCTGTATCATTCTTTTTCCTGTTTACTTGAAATGTAGAATTTCTGCAAACATTTCCTTTTAAATTTGTTTGTCATAAATAAACTTCGATTTTTGAGCCAAAATTTTCTTCTTAGAAAACGCTGAGTTCACGAAACGGCTTCTTCTACGCGAATACACGGCAGTTGTAAACAATCCATCGAGCACAAAACTCCTGCTACAGTAAATTGAAAAACGCCGTATTGAATCCTTCCAAGTCTTTTCTTGCCTTAAAAAAAGTCAGCCCTAGGATTTTGTCGACTTTTAAAAGATCGTTCTCTAAAAAAAACGGGAAAAACACCGAGCTCACACATTATCCACTCGCTAGGAGGTGAATATTGTTGAATAGTCCGAGATAGCGAACCAATCAGATTGCTTAAATCACCAAGATCACTGAGTGTGTATATACTAATTAATATTATTTGTCAATCAATGATAGCTTTAACGGTACATATCACTTTAAAACGTCCTTCTTAGGTGAGCTGTTGCCATAAAAAAAAATTCCAAGAAAAATTCTATGATTAAAATAATTTATTTCGTAAAGCTATATTGCTACAGTAATTATGGGCGCTTTCCATTCGACCCAAAAGTCCGGAAATTTCGGTTGGTTCATCAAATGGAACAGACCACTTCGGTTTGGTCCGACCGGAATATTCAGGACCAGCTTTGAAGGTGGTCCACTGTGACCGGTCTGGTCATTTCGGTCGGCCGGACCTAAATGTCCCTTTCCATTTGCCAAAATTGTTGTCCCCAGTACCGCTCTTTTCTATCCCGCTTACAACAACAAGTAGTTTCCAGTGGAAAGTCAAGTGCTGTGAGGAAAGCCATGACATCTCAAATAGTTTGAATCAGTTGCAATTTATTTCAATTTTTGATATTTGCCATTAACAGTGTCAAATAACTGACGCAACACGACACGTAGGTGAAAAAATACAATTGTATAAAAGTCCGTGAGAATCAGCGTATTATTTGTCTGAAACCTGTCGACGATATTTAACTAAAGCAATTTATCAATTAAGCTGAAATGAATACAACAAAGCCTGGCTGAATACAAATTGGCCAAACACCGAATTTATTTACTGTACACTTCCAGGAATTGCTTCGAATCGTTCGAATATTCTGAGAAACGTATCGCTTCAATTCACAAGAATTTTTTACCTTCACTTGCATTCATCGGCTTTCTACAAGAAATAGGATTCCCCCGCCTTTAGTTTTCCACCGCCTCTTTTCGACAGTCGAGTGTTCTTTAGGATATAAACAGTATTTACTGTTCACTTTTAGAGCGTAACTATGAGTGTGCTGCGAAGCCTTAATAACAAAACGCGCGGTGGCTTGGGTCGGGTCTGTACTGCAACCGGAATGTACCGTTCCATTGAGCACGTGAATTTTGCGAAATTTCAAACCTGAATTTTTGGTGAATGGAAAGCGCCCTATGTGCTTTGAACTCTGAATCAAGAGTTCCTTTGAGTCCTGTTAGAGACATTGTGTTGTGTTCCTGGCGTGGCCAAGACACCTTACTTTCACTGTACTTTTATGGATTACTCTAACCAGGTATGGGAATGGTTACCCTGCCATAGACTGGCATCTGGTCCCAACAAGAAGTTGACATATCCCTTGTCACTTCTAATGCTACAGTGTATAATGGAGTGACAAGGCTGAGCCTGCATGGCTACTTGTTTTTGGCTTGAGTGCAAGCTTATAACCTTTGTTCTACATGTACATGTGCCTACTAGCTTTACGTCAGTGATTACTATAAATTTACTCACGTCATCACATCGCTGACTTATTTATCATTCATTATTTTAATCTCATTGAAATATGTTTTCTGTCCTGTTCAGTTTCTCCGAGTTTCAGCGGTTTCAATCCTGACCAAGTTGTGGTAGAAAGTGACCCTGGTACGATCTCGTTAAACTGTTCTGCAATTGGTAACCCAGCACCAACCGTCACCTGGATAAGAAGAGTGTTTAATAATGGAAGTGAGAGTGATGTGCTGTTTACTGGAAACCCGTATGTGATCAACAGCAACAGAAACAATGCTGGAACATATCGCTGTAAAGCTGACAATGGAATTGGTGCCATTAATCAGACAATCCGTGTGACTGTTAACTGTAAGTACAGTGCATTTCCCAGTTTTAGTGGTTGGATGTTGTTGTTTCTGAACAAGCAAAATAATGTATAGATTTATTAGCCAGGGCTAAAAGTTTCGCTCCAGTTATTTAATTTATAATTTCAAACAGTAAACTTGTAATCCACTTTGCTGGAAATCCATATGACTTTTAGGGGTGGGGCTGGGTGATTTTAGGGAAAAAATAATTTGCAAACAGTGCAAGAATAAAACAACATCTAAAATCTTACACCCAATAAATAGCAATCACATTGGACCACAGTAGATTAGGCGTGTAAAACAAAATTCTCCCAAGCAAAATGACTTGTTTGCCCACACCACCTTTATTTTATAAGGTTAAGTGAAAAGTCCCGAAATATGATTTTATGCTATAAAGGCCCTTAAAATGGCCCCTGTAAATGGTAAGAAAATAAATAAATAAATAAATAATGTGCATTTGTACTGCATCTACAGTGTACATGATCCACCAACAAACAAACACCACAAGCGTTTAATATCATCATGCTAGAAAAACTGGTTAAAGACGGGCCAACGAAAATGCTACAAATTGGTGCCGCTTAATATAAGACTATTGCTCTGGTCATTAGCTGGTAAAATGCATTTAACTGTATTTAATATTTTGTCATGTATTCATCTCTATTTCCTTTTTGATATAGAGAGATCTGTGATACAGGCTCTGACCAATATCACAGTAACAGAGGGCAAAAACAGTACTTTGACTTTTCATGTTAGTGGTACACCTATGCCATCTGTATCCTGGAAAGAAGTTAGAACAGGTGACAGTACAGAAGGGAGCATCCGTTCACTTATTAATGTCAGTAGAAGTGATGCTGGAGAATACAAGTGTGAAGCAAGCAACTTTTGTGGAAATGACTCCAAAAGCACATTTGTGATTGTTAACTGTAAGTGAAGTCATACTATGAATAGTAATTAAAAGTATACATGTATAATCCTAAATGGTATTTTATGTTCAGCAGCTGCTTGTACTGCACTAGTTTACCCATCATATTTCCATTTAGACTACGGTAAGAAAAGAAAGTCTCTAGAATGTTGTAGTATACAAGGAATATGTTTTCCACGTCAGTTATGATCAGTAAAATGTTAATTTTCACCTTATTGTGTATTATTTATTAACATTTACTTTTTTCACACAATGTTTAAAGGGTGTTCTTGTTTCTCCGTTATCTCTTTTCAGTTAAACCAGAGAATCTGCAGTTAACAACGAATGTCACTTCTAATAAAGCATGTCTGAATGATGTTCTGTTCTTCAACTGCTCTGCTGCTACTGCAAGCCCAGCAGTAGCATTATATCAGTTTTTTGAGAATGATGTTCTGTTTGGTAGTAGCAGCTCAGGAATGTTCAGCAAAATGGTGATGAACAGTGGTAATTTAAGATACAAATGTGTAGGAAACAATACTGGAGGAGCAACAAGTAGCCAACACGTTACAATTACTGTTAATGGTGAGGCCAATAATGATTATACAAAAAAATAGGATGTGTTCAGTTCTGTTTTCTCTCCTGTTTGCTTGTTTTTGTCAGTTCCCTTCTTGTTGTAAAGTGTATCACTTTCTTGTAGGGGTCAATTTACTAAAACTTTTACAAGTGTAGCCATTGTTTTAGAGTCTGAAAACAATAGCTACACTTGTAAATTAAAGTTTTATTAAATTGACCCCAGGTGTCTAACGGGCAAGTAGAGTAGCGTGTGCTGATGAAACTGGAGATATCTAAAACCTATGAGAGAGAGAGAGAGAGAGAGAGAGAGAGAGAGAGAGAGAGAGAGAGAGAGAGAGAGAGAGAGAGAGAGAGAGAGAGAGAGAGAGAGAGAGAGAGAGAGAGGCAGATTCATGTGCGTATTTGCTACGATCGATAGGTATTTGCTACGGTAGCAAATACTCACTAGTAGGTATCTGCTACCTTAGTGAGTATTTGCTACGGTAGCAAATACTCACTGGTAGGTATTTGCTACCTAAGTGAGTATTTGCTACGGTAGCAAATACTCACTGGTAGGTATTTGCTACTCGAGGTAGGTATTTGCTACGGTAGCAAATACTTACAGGTAGGTATTTGCTACGTAAGTGAGTATTTGCTACCGTAGCAAATACGTACGGAAGGTTTTTGCGTCAAAACTAAGGACTTTGCAGCTAGTAAGAGGTACTTTAGTCCCGCTGCACGACTTCATATTAATAGCCAGCGTTGCAAACTATTTTAAAGTAAATACATAATTAAAGGCCCAAGTAGGGCCAAAACATGGTTCAGCATAGAGATCATGGTTTATGTGGAAACAACGCTTGGCCGGTGAAATTATTTTTGAAAGCTGTTTTAAAGAGGCAACCCGTGTAAAATAATATATAGTTATAGCAAAACTTAACGATAAATAAATAAAACTTTTAAAACTAAGTTGATACTTAACGGGAAAAAACAACGGCTTCTTTAGAAGCCATCAAATTTTAAAAAGTCTCAACCAACAGATACCAAACACAGCTGATTGGTCTAAGAATAAACCGAGCTGTGAGCCGAAGAATCACCACACCCAGCGGTAGGTAACTAGTGTAACCATCATATAGTGATTTCACATTACTTAATATGCAATGTAACTGTTCCCAGCTCTATACTAAATAGCACTTCATAGCCCTATATAGCCCTACATAGCCCTACATGGCCGTACATAGCACGTCATATTCCTATATACCCCTACCTAGCTCTAAAAGACTGGTTTTCTAGCTAGAACGTTTGTACATAGCCGCGCATAGCCGTAGAAAGCAGGGAATAGACGTGCATAGCTGTACGTAAGCCCAAAATAGCCGTGCATAGCCGTACAAAGCCGTGCACAGCCCTGCATTCCCGTACACAGCAGTGTGCGGCCGTACGTTGCCGTACATAGTCGTGTATAACCGTGTATAGCCGTAACGTAGCCGTACAAAGCAGGGAATAGTCCTGTATAGGCGTACATAAGCCCTACAAAGCCCTGCATATCCCCACATTGCTGTACGGTCATGCACGGCTATACAGTGAGTGAGTGAAAAATTTATTTACCCACGGTAATCTTATATCAAATAACTTTACAATTAAGTATGTTATCCCTAAGGGCCGTGCAAAGGGCTAGGTACGGCTACGCACGGCTATGTACGGCAGTGTACGGCCATGCACGGCATTGTACGACCATGGGTGACAATGTACGGCTATGCACGACTATGCACGGCTATATATGGCCATGCACGGCTATGTACGATTATGTACGGCTATGCACAACTATGCATGGCTATGTCCGGCCATTAACAGCTATATATTGCTATGTATGGCTATGTAGGGTTATTAACGGCTATATACGCTTATTTACGGCTATGCAGTCTATGTCAGCCATGCATGGCTATGTGCGGGTTTTTACAGTTAGTATGGCTTTGTAGGGCTATGCACGGCCTATTTACGGCCATGTACGGCTATGTATAGCCATGCACGGCTATGTACGGCTATGCACGGCTACCTACGGCTATGTACGTCTAGGCACGGCTATGTACGGCCATGCACAGCTATGTACGGCTATGCATGGCTACCTACGGCCATGTACGGCTATGTATGGCCATGCACGGCTACCTACGGCTATGTACGTCTAGGCACGCTATGTACGGCCATGCGCAGCTATTTACGGCTATGAACGGCTACGTACGGCCATGCACGGCAATGTATGGCTATGCACGTCTGGGCACGGCTATGTATGGCCATGCACAGCTAGCCACGGCTACGGCTATGCACTGCTTTTCACCTCCATGTACGGCTTTGCTGAGCTATGTAAGGCTATGTACGGGTACGTAACGCTATGTACAGCTATGCACGGCTAAATACGGCTATGCACGGCTATGCACAACTATATACGGCCATGCACGGGTATTTACTGTTATGTACGGCTATGTACGGCTATGTAGGGCTATTTAGGGCTATGAAAGGCTATTTACGGCCATGCACGGCTATTTACGGCTATTTACGTTTACGTACGGCTTTGCAGGGCTATGCACAGCCATGTACGGCTATGCACGGCTACCTACGGCTATGTACGTCTAGGCACGGCTATGTACGGCTATGCACAGCTATGTACGGCTATGCATGGCTACCTACGGCCATGTACGGTTATGTATGGCCATGCACGACTACCTACGGCTATTTACGTCTAGGCATGCTCTGTACGGCCATGCACAGCTATGTACCGCTACGGCTATGCACGGTTTTTCACCTCTATGTACGGCTTTGCTGAGCTATGTAAGGCTATGTACGGGTATGTAGGAATATGTACAGCTATGCACGGCTAAATACGGCTATGCACGGCTATGCACGGCTATGCACAGCTATATACGGCCATGCACGGGTATTTACGGTTATGTACGGCTATGTACGGCTATGTAGGGCTATTTAGCGCTATGAACGGGTATTTACGGCCATGCACGGCTATTTACGTTTACGTACGGCTTTGCAGGGCTATGCACAGCCATGTACGGCTATGCACGGCCATGTACGGCTATGCACGGCTATGTACGTCTAGGCACGGCTATGTACGGCCATGCACAGTTATGTAAGGCAAAGCATGGCTACCTACGGCCATGCACGGGTATGTATGGCTATGCACGTCTGGGCACGGCTATGTATGGCCATCCACAGCCATGTACGGCTATGCACGGCTACCTACGGCTATGCACGTCTAGGCACGGCTATGTTCGGCCAAGCACAGCTATGTACGACTATGCACGGTTACCTACGGCCATGTACGGCTATGTATGGCCATGCACGGCTATGTACGGCTATGCACGTCTAGGCAAGGCTATGTACGGCTATGAACGGCTAGCTACGGCTATGTACGGTCATTCACGGCTATTTACGGCTATGCACGATTATGTACCTCTAAGTACGGTTTTGCAGGGCTATATAAGGCTATGTACGGGTATGTAACGCTATGTACAGCTATGCACGGATAAATACGGCTATACACGGCTGTGCACAGCTATATACTGCCATGCACGGGTATTTACGGTTATGTACGGCTATGTACGGCTATGTAGGGCTATTTAGGGCTATAAACGGCTATTTACGGCCACGCACGGCTATTTACGGCTATTTACGTTTACGTACGGCTTTGCAGGGCATGCACAGCCATGTACGGCCATGCACGTCTAGGCACGGCTATGTACGGCCATTCACAGCTACCTACGGCTATGTACGTCTAGGCACGCTATTTACGGGCATTCACAGCTATGTACGGCTATGCACGGCTACCTACGGCCATGCACGGGTATGTATGGCTATGCACGTCTGGGCACGACTATGTATGGCCATGCACAGCCATGTACGGCTATGCACGGCTACCTACGGCTATGCACGTCTAGGCATGGCTATATTCGGCCAAGCACAGCTATGTACTACTATGCACGGTTACCTACGGCCATGTACGGGTATCTATGGCCATGCACGGCTATGTACGGCTATGCACGTCTAGGCACGGCTATGTACGGCTATGCACGGCTAGCTACGGCTATGTACGGCTATGAACGGCTAGCTACGGCTATGTACGGCCATTCACGGCTATTTACGGCTATGCACGGTTATGTACGTCTAAGTACGGCTTTGCAGGGCTATGTAAGGATATGTACGGGTATGTAAGGCTATGTGCGGCTATACACGGCCAAATACGGCTATATACGGCTAAGTAAGGCTATGCACGGCCATGTACGGCCATGTACGGCTATGCACGGCTTTTCACCTCTATGTACGGCTTCGCTGAGCTATGTAAGGCTATGTACGGGTATGTAAGGATATGTACAGCTATGCACGGCTAAATACACCTTTGCACGTCTAGGCACGGCTATGTACGGCCATTCACAGCTATGCACAGCTACCTACGGCTATGTACGTCTAGGCACGCTATTTACGGCCATGCTCAGCTATGTACGGCTATGCACGGCTACCTACGGCCATGCATGGGTATGCATGGCTATGCACGTCTTTGCACGGCTATGTATGGCCATGCACAGCAATGTTCTGCTATGCACGGCTACCTATGGCTATGCACGTCTTGGCACGGCTATGTTCGGCCAAGCACAGCTATGTACGACTATGCACGGTTACCTACGGCCATGTACGGCTATGTAAGGCTATGCACGTCTAGGCACGGCTATGTACGGCTATGCACGGCTAGCTACGGCTATGCACGGCTATGAACAGCTAGCTACGGCTATGTACGGCCATTCACGGCTATTTACGGCTATGCACGATTATGTACGTCTAAGTACGGCTTTGCAGGGCTATGTAAGGCTATGTACGGGTATGTAACGCTATGTACAGCTATGCACCGCTAAATACGGCTATACACGGTTGTGCACAGCTATATACTGCCATGCACGGGTATTTACGATTATGTACGGCTATGTAGGGCTATGTACGGCTATCTAGGGCTATTTAGGGCTATAAACGGCTATTTACGGCTATTTACGTTTACGTACGGCTTTGCAGGGCTATGCACAACCATGTACGGCCATGCACGTCTAGGCACGGCTATGTACGGCCATTCACAGCTACCTACGGCTATGTACGTCTAGGCACGCTATTTACGGCCATGCTCAGCTATGTACGGCTATGCACGGCTACCTACGGCCATGCACGGGTATGCATGGCTATGCACGTCTTTGCACGGCTATGTATGGCCATGCACAGCAATGTTCTGCTATGCACGGCTACCTATGGCTATGCACGTCTTGGCACGGCTATGTTCGGCCAAGCACAGCTATGTACGACTATGCACGGTTACCTACGGCCATGTACGGCTATGTAAGGCTATGCACGTCTAGGCACGGCTATGTACGGCTATGCACGGCTAGCTACGGCTATGCACGGCTATGAACAGCTAGCTACGGCTATGTACGGCCATTCACGGCTATTTACGGCTATGCACGATTATGTACGTCTAAGTACGGCTTTGCAGGGCTATGTAAGGCTATGTACGGGTATGTAACGCTATGTACAGCTATGCACCGCTAAATACGGCTATACACGGTTGTGCACAGCTATATACTGCCATGCACGGGTATTTACGATTATGTACCGCTATGTAGGGCTATGTACGGCTATCTAGGGCTATTTAGGGCTATAAACGGCTATTTACGGCCACGCACGGCTATTTACGGCTATTTACGTTTACGTACGGCTTTGCAGGGCTATGCACAACCATGTACGGCCATGCACGTCTAGGCACGGCTATGTACGGCCATTCACAGCTACCTACGGCTATGTACGTCTAGGCACGCTATTTACGGCCATGCACAGCTATGTACGGCTATGCACGGCTACTTACGGCCATGCACGGGTATGTATGGCTATGCACGTCTGGGCACGGTTATGTATGGCCATGCACAGCCATGTACGGCTATGCACGGCTACCTACGGCTATGCACGACTAGGCACGGCTATGTTCGGCCAAGCACAGCTATGTACGACTGTGCACGGTTACCTACGGCCATGTACGGGTATGTATGGCCATGCACGGCTATGCACGTCTAGGCACTGCTATGTACGGCTATGCACGGCTAGCTACGGCTATGTACAGCTACGAACGGCTAGCTACGGCTATGTACGGGCATTCACGGCTATTTACGGCTATGCACGGTTATGTACGTCTAAGTACGGCTTTGCAGGGTTATGTAAGGCTATGTACGGGTATGTAAGGCTATGTGCGGCTATACACGGCCAAATACGGCTATATACGGCTAAGTAAGGCTATGCACGGCCATGCGCGGCCATGTACGGCTATGCACGGCTTTTCACCTCTATGTACGGCTTTGCTGAGCTATGTAAGGCTATGTACGGGTATGTAAGGATATGTACAGCTATGCACGGCTAAATACGGTTATGTACGGCTATTTACGGCTATTTACGTTTACGTACGGCTTTGGAGGGCTATGTATGGCCAAGTACGGTAATGTACGGGTATGTGCGGCTATGTACAGCTATTTGCACGGCTTTTCACCTCTATGTACGGCTTTGCTGAGCTATGTAAGGCTATGTACGGCTATGTATAGCTATGTACGGCTATGTATAGCTATGTACGGTTATGTACAGCTATGTACGGCTATGAAGGGCTATGCACCGCCATGTAGGCTTAAGGCACGGCTGTTCACGTCTATGTACGATAATGTTCAGCTATGCACGGCTATCTCCGGCTATTTACGGCTATGCACAGATTTGTACCGCTATCTATGGCTATGCATGTGCGGCCATGCACGGCTATTTACGTCTATGTACGGCTTTGCAGGTCTATGCAAGGCTATGTACGGCTATCTACAGACATGCACCGCTATGTACGGCCATGCACGGCTATGTACGGCTATGCACGGGTATCTACAGCTATATACGGCCATATACAGCTAGGTACGGCTATTCACGGCTATTCACGTCTATGTGCGGCTTTTCCGGGGTATGTAAGGCTAATATGTACAGCTATGCACGGCTAAATACGCCTATGCACGGCTATGGACAGCTACATTCGGCCATGCAAGGGTATTTACGGCTATGTACAGCTATGCACGGCTATGTGCGGTTATATACGGCTATGTAGTAGTATGCACGGCTATATAGGAGTATATACGGCTATAAGGGCTATGTACGGTTATGTACGGCTATGTACGGCCATACACAGCTGTGCAGCGCTATGTAATCCCTACGTAAGCGCTACTTAACCTTACATAGGCGTACAGAACCCTACAGTCCTACAGAGCCCTATATAACCCTACGTAGCCATATATTGGAACATTCGTTTGGCAAAATGTTTGAGCCGCTTTTTAAAAGTGCGCCGGTACGCCGTCCTGCGAAAGTTTATCTCCTTCCTTACGACGTGCGGCTAAGAGAATTTATCATCCTTGCAGTTTTTTGTAAAAGCTACAACATTTTTCCTGTGATAAGCGTCCTCCAGCTACAACCTCCTGTTTTGCATGTGCACCCCTTCTTCATGCATTAAAATTTTAGATACGCGCGCATCATTTTTCTTTTGTCAGTGAGCGTAATATTTTGGGAGAACTGAGCCTTGCAATTCCTTTTGTCTTTTTTGTTCATTGACTAAAGTAAAAAAAAACGGTAAAAATTTACAAGCATGATTTATTAGCATCATGTGTGGCATTATTAGCTCGAGTGTGGGTCATGCGAGCAACCGCGCGCGAGACTTCTCTATACGAACGAGGTACGAATTTAATAGACCAAAATTGTACACTGTTTATCCAGGCATTCAAAGCCAGATTGTCATTTCCTGTCTGCATGGCTTAAAGCGTGTAAGCCTTTATAGTATGCTAACTTTAGACCTTTTAGCCGGTGTTTTTTAACTCCAGCCAAAAGTGCGCAATAGCTGCAAACTGCATCACGTGTTATTTCCAAATGTGTGATAAATATAATGGATATAAACCAGGTTATATCTATGTTTTTCTTTTGATGGTTGTTATTTGTAAATTGAACATCATCTTCCTTTGATTTTCTTCCTTCTCCAAGATATAACTTTTAAATAAATAGGATTTCGATAACTAAAGTGCGTATTTGCTGCAAAAACAAATATCTGCTACCATATCATCCGCATTTTAAACAGTTCCGTGTAAAATAAGGTTCTACAGCGGGTAATATTCATGGCTACCTTTAGCTGGCTGTGCCTTGGTTGGTAGGCATCATTATGTATTGCTTCTCTTCTTTTATCACGACTTAACTTCGAAATAAATTACATGCTTCTTTTCTGAGCGAAAACCAAAGTGCGTATTTGCTGCAAAAACGAGTATTTGCTACCTTATGATCCGCATTTTACACAGTTTTGTGTAAAATAAGCTTCTAGAGCGGGTAATATTAATGGCTACCTTTGGCTGGCTGTTCCCTGGTTGGTAGGCATCATTATGCATTGTTGATCTTCTTTTATCACGGCTTAACTTCGAAATAAATTACATGTTTCTTTTCTGAGCGAAAACCAAAGTGCGTATTTGCTGCAAAAACGAGTATTTGCTACGGAATAGGTTTTTGGATAAAAAATGCATTCAAAGTGCTTTGACACCTCAAAAATTGTTTCGGAAGAGTTTCTTTTGTGAAGCGCTTACTTTCCACATAAAAATTGGAGAAGGTATCACAAAGGGTTATTATTTTTACAGCAAATACGTTTTGGGTTGTCTAAAAAAAATCTTGAGTCTGAAACTGGTGCCGAACATGTACCTGAGAACAACGTTTAGTCCTTAATTTAAGTTAAAGCAAAATTGAAAATATTTCCAAACACGGAGGGGTTTAATAGTAATTCTTATTACCCTAAGGACCTTACAAATCCGTTTTGTTTGGCAAATTTTACAAAATTTTTGGTTGATGTACCAAGAAATGCGTATTTGCTACGTTAAGTTGGTTTGAACTAGAAAATATTCTGGAAAAGTAAAATAAATTAGAAAAGGGTAACTTTTCTTGCTGAAACCTCGAAAGACTTGGAAATAATCCTCATAATTATCGTACTGAGTTTTACGAATCGTCTTTCACGCACTAGTCTTTATCTTAGCCTTAAGACAAGTTTCGTTTATTCAAACCTCTTCAGTTTGGCTAAAACTGTTACAATACGTACGTATGTTACGTATTGTAACAGTTTTAGCCAAACTGAAGAGGTTTGAATAAACGAAACTTGTCTTAAGGCTAAGATAAAGACTAGTGCGTGAAAGACGATTCGTAAAACTCAGTACGATAATTATGAGGATTAATTAGAAAAGGGAGAACGTATTTTCGGTATGTAAAAGCTTAGCTTATTGGCTTGCCCAAAAGAAGTGAGGTTTGATATGTAAAACGTTTTAAAATTTTCAAAAGGAGAAAACGTAGCAGATACGGACAGATGAATCTAAAGAGAGAGAGAGAGAGAGAGAGAGAGAGAGAGAGAGAGAGAGAGAGAGAGAGAATAAAAGCATTACATGTTTAATGTCAATTAATTAATTGCAGAGCCTTCATCCATTCAGTCAATCGAAGATCAGTTTGTTGTTGAACGTCGCAATACAAGTCTCATTTGTAATGCATCTGGGACCCCTCGGCCAACTGCAGTGTCCTGGATCTATGTCGCCAGTGGTCTGCGCACTAACGGCAGTATACTGGAGTTTGCCAACGTTAAAAGAAGTGAAGCTGGAGAATACAGATGTGAAGCTAGCAATGAGTGTGGAAATGCAATAGAGGCTGTTAACGTTACTGTGCAGTGTGAGTAGATTTAGCATAAGACATTACATTGGTTCATATCAAGTGATGGATCAAGCAGGACCTTTTTGTACTCTGAAAAATAACTATAACAACAATATGATGCTATGACACTGTAGGATAATCCCAACATTTATGCATCAGTCAATTTCAGCTGCGTCCATCCCTTTCGTTTTTGCTTCGTTTTCGAGATTTGGATGCTCTGTTTTCGAGATGTGGATGCTCCGTTTTCGAGATTTGGGTGCTTCGTTTTCGAGATTTGAGTGCTTCGTGCTTCGGTCTTTGTTTTCGAGCGCGTCGTTTTCGAAACTACCATGTTCATATTCACGGACAAAAGTAAATCGCTATTAGTTATTCAGATCCAGGAGACAATTTGGAGAAATTAAACAACCTAAAAGTTTACTAAGCCGCAAGGAAGAAGTTTACGTTTTAAATGAGAACAAAGAAAATGTTTTCGACGCGCATCAGAAGGCGAATCGTTCCGACCAGGAATAAACCGCAGAAAATCAATGCTTGTCACGACCCCTCAGTATGAAACAAGCAGCAAAAATAATGCACATTAGCTCAGTCATAATCTACCCGCAGGAGAAAAAACTCATTGGAACAAGCAGCATTTTCGCACGAGGTAAAAGTCGTGTTTTCCCTACCGACTACATATGCCAGATAGTACAACTGGAACGGCAGTGATTTTCCATTTGGCCGGTCGGCAAGACCGCCAGTATCATTATGTCTCCACACCATCGAATGTTCCAGTGACTACGACTGTTGCCTTATCTAAATCTTCCGTACATACAGGCATCTGATATTTCCAATTCTAAACGTACGTGATGTGTGCTTGGATTGTTTGGATTTGATCTTTGTCACCTTCAAACCACCCGCGTCCCGATCACGCGCCTATTGCGATTGCAATCCAGTCAGAGCATTTGAAAAGTTTGATATCTCTAAGAAACCAATCAGCAAAACATCCAGGATGTTTTGGTATAAACGAGGTTGTAATTAGCTCGGCGCTATCAAAGGGATGGCGCTCTGATCCAGAGGCTTTTCGCGCGCGTCCCTTTTTAGACTTTACCGAAACCGGAAACCGCACATGAAAAGCCTCTGGCACCCCGGGTATATGCGACTGTGTGATCAATGAAAAATGTTGCAGTGTTGACAGAGGACGGGGCATTTGCCCTCTTTTCTCGTCCCCACCGCGGGGAATTTGACAGTTCAGGAGTCCCCACCCCTGGGAATTTGCCATCCAAGGCAAAAAAAAATGCTAATGCCGGGGGTCAGCCCAGAGGGGAGGGGGGTTGGGGGCGGGGCTGGGCGCAGCTGGAATTGACTGATGCAATAGTATAAAAGTGGAAGGCAATATGGATACCATGTTAATTATTACAGAAGAAACAACTGTATTAATTTTGTATTTAAATCAACATTTGGTAGACGTTATGGGTTGTAAGTCATAGAAATACTGCACAGGCCAGAGGACAAAAATTATTGTATGTTTTACCTAAGGCTATAAACTGGATGTTACATTTAATGCACTGTTCTAGTAATACATGTTAACATAATCGCTGACAAGATAGATTGCCGTTATATCTTCTTCAATCATAACCCTACAGGAGCATTTTGTGTATGGGTCAAGGCACTACAAATGACTAATAAAGTAAATCGAACTAAAGCAGAAAGAATTATTCTCCTTTAAATGATACTTCTTTGTGTTTTTACCCCATTCTAGATCCACCAGAAAATGTCGTATTGGCAACAAATGCCACTGCAAATAAAGCTTGTCAGAAGATGCAGTAAGCTTCACCTGCTCAGCCGATGCTGTTCCATCCGCGATGTCATTCCAGTTGTTTAAAGATAACGTTTCCTTTGAGATAAGTGACTCAGGAATGTGGGTGAAAACACTGTCAGAGGGAGGCGTGTTTAACTACAAATGTGTAGCTAACAATCCCATTGGATCAACAAGCAGCACAAATGTTAGCATTACTGTTAATGGTAAGTGAGACCGTAAAAATACGTTGGCACTCAGGCTAACACTTAGGAATTATTTGACTGATTCTAGTTACGCACGATCTGATCTCTGTGTTCACTGTATATATTCTGCTACATCAGCATTTAATGAAGAATATCAGTGACATCATGGGCGTACACATATTTAATATGCGAATGACACCACCGTATAAAAGCATACAATTACTTGTATGAGTACTTTTTTGACACTTAAAATATTGTATGTTTTCTCTGAGTTTCAACAATAAACAGGCTCATGCTTCTTGTCCGCCATTACCATGCATCATTAGATCTTGGATTTAACTCAACATGCAAGGACAACTAGACCTGTGCTTTGGACAAGTACAACTAGAACCTCACCTGTCCATTGGACAAGTGAAGTTCACAAATTTTTGTCTAACCCTGACATATATGTCATAACTGAGAAACTGTATGCAATAAATTTTCTTAATTAAATAGATGCGTGTAGACTTTTTTAAGCAACTAAAGTGTACTAAGAGAGATGGCATTTTGTGTGATACATGAGGAGGTGCAACTAGATGGGAAATGAGACGAGTACTTGTTTGCTATTTTCGGAAGGTTTATTCTAATTAGAACTCATACTCTTATGTTTCTGACCAGGGGATGGACTCCTTTAAAGGGCACGAGTAGTGTCAGTTAGCTTGTATCTGAAGCATGGTACACGCTGTTGTAGTACTTACATGTACAGTCACTTACTCCGCCAGTTCTCCCGAAACGTTTCTGGGCCCAGTTGTTTGAAGGCTGATTAGTGCTTACCCGGGGTTAAATTTAACCCCGGGTAAGCGCCAATCAAAAGAATTATCTTGGATACTCCGTGATTTCTCTTTTCATTTTTGGAGCATCCAATAATCAAATTGTAGACAAAAAAATTAAACTGAATTTGCTTTTTAAGCTTTCATATCTGAATTCAAATTTCGCACTAAACCTGGGTTATCTAAACCCAGGTTTAAACAACCCGCCTTTGCCGAACAAAACAGCTATAGAATTTCATTTGCATTTCAATCAAAATGTCCCATAAAAGAAGTTTTTCACTCAGTCATCTGTAGCACATAGCTTTAGTATCTGTGTTTGCAGTTTAGTCTTGATGGCCCCGACCATTATGTCAATCAGTAGAAACAGCTGCTAGTCTTTCTTTTTTTACTTTTATATTTAATTTTTCACCCCAGAGCCGTCAAGCATCCACCCTTTGCAAAACGAGACAATAACTGAAGGTGGTAACTTGAATCTGTCTTGCAATGCATCTGGTACACCTCCGCCAGTCGTGTCATGGGTGAGGATTAGCACTGGTCAACGCTTTGATGTTAGTGTGTTACAACTCACCAATATCAACAGGAGTAAAGCTAAAGACTACAGATGTGAAGCCAGCAATGAGTGTCGTAATGCATCAGAGGTACAAAACATTGATGTGCAGTGTAAGTAATGAACGGAGTTCACCAAATTCTGCCATATCGTTAAGGGCGCTTTGGCAACCACGTCGGCGACGATGGCAAAAACGTCACTTAAAAAGTAAACTGGTCCTCTTTCAAACATCATCGCTATTATTCCGCTGTGTTCAATTTGTCAAAAGTTGTTAATTTTGCTTAATTTGACGTCTGTGGACTATATCTAAGTTCAGAAAAAAAAATCGTTTTGTTTTTATCACGTTCTCCATAAAACGTTAGATTAAGAATTTTCACGTCGCAGTCGTGCAACGAAGCTCAAGAAATGTAAAAAAAAAAAATAAATAAAAAAAATAAAAAAAGAAAGTAAGAAAAGAATGTGTGAATCACGTGCAAAGCTGTTGTTTTGCTCATGTAATCCTATATTGCTCTTTTACTGTTCTCGTTGTCGTTGCCAACGCTATCGTCGTTGCTTAAGCTTTCTGTTAAGCTTTCAGTCAGTCTTAGTGTACAGTACGAGCATGTGTTTTGAGCCGTTGATAGTGTCGCGTTAGGGGGAAGAAGAGAGAGAGCCTGAGTACCAGTTGTTAGATTGACATCACATTGACATGGTCTGTTTGGCTCTTTTTCCCTTCTAAAAAATAAACACTTTACAGAAGACGTTGTTTAGGGAACTGAGCACTTAACGCCTTTCATAAATTTTGCATCGAAGGGAACGTGACTTAGACGAAATTTGATTGCCCGGTTCTCCAAAGCCCATTGAGCATTAATCCAGGGTTGAATTTTTTTTTCACTGTCTTGTGGATTATTTGTGGACCTTTTTTAGACTGTCATTTTTGGTTTACAGGACCGGCTCTCTGACTAAAGACTCGCAAGTTTTTATGAGTTGTTTTATTAGGGGATTCTGTTTTAAAATAAGGATAACGTTTTGTCTGATGTTCACCGTTATACATGGATTGCGGTGGCAATACAATTAAGCGAACCAACGGCTTAAGAGTAGCATTAAAGTTATAGTGTCTTTGGTGGTTGTCTGATTATTTTTTTCCGTTTTTATCTTACATAAATTATATGTATGTTGTAGTGTTTAGGGAGAAAATCCCATAATAATATACAAGTAAATGGCGTCTTTTGGCCAATGTTTTGTTTTTTTCCTGGCTATCATGCCACATTAATTGTTGATTGAACTTTGTCGTGTTAATATAAACAGTTTTTTTCCTTATAGACAAGCCAGAGAACGTCCAGCTAACAACAAACGCCAGTGCAAACAAAGCATGCCAGAATGACGTCTTGAAACTTCCTTGTTCAGTCGGTGATGCTAATCCAGAAGTGACGTCATATCAGTTGTTTCGAAATGGCACTGATGTTGGGGAAAGCAACACAGGAATGTGGGTTAAAACGCTGTCAAACAGCGGCCTATCGATGTACAAATGTGTGGCAAACAACTCTGTGGGAAGTTCAGAAAGCCCGAGTGTTTCCATCACTGTTAATGGTAATCATGAATTTCGTTTTTCATGTCCGCCTCTTTTCACCCTTCCAGCAGAGCCTTTCTATTGCTAGTTTGATGTTGGCGCACTCGAGAAAGACTCTGCTTGCACCAAGTAAAACCTTTGTTGAGCATGCATTAAATGCTGCTTGGATATAGTTTCGATTACAGGCCTAATAGCTCGGCGCTTGGTACAGCGGGCTTAGTTATGGTTATCGGTTTATCAGTAAACGGATGCTCACACTCGAAAAAGCCAGAAAACAAGATTGACTAGTGCAGAAGTTCGGGCTGCGATGACTTCAAAGGTTTGACACGATTCAGGCAGAGCCTCCTTAAAATCTCATCCATAATTAAGAAATAAAAATGACGCTCAGGCTGTGCTCGCAGGATGACGTGTTTTATGTAGTTGTTCGAATTTGTAATAATAATTGGTTAATGATAAGGAATTTTGGAGAGTATTCGCTTCCTCTTGCGGTTTTCCCTTTTCGTATGTACCTGCATGACTGTGTTTCTTGTATGATGTTTAAACGGCATTTTGCACCTATTCAGCCCCTAGGCTTTTAATAGTCACGATGCTATCCATTGGATAAACGGAACTGAAATAGATCTGGCTGCCATTCATCACGTGTAGCTGAAACCGTCTTAATCTTCTGCATGAGCTTTGCCCTTAGTCCGTATTTGTTTTTTCCGCAATTTATCTTGCGTTTTCTGCAATTTGAGGCACCTGTTTAGTCAAATCTTCGAAGGTTTCTTGGTAATTGCTTGAAAGTAGACCTACACCTTCAATTTTCCTCTTACGTTTCCATTATTTTATTGCAGTGCCTCCGACTATCGCGCCAGTACTAGATAAGACAGTTAACGAGACTGACAACTTAACTTTGGCCTGCGTGGCAACTGGTGTCCCTTCACCCTTTGTTTCCTGGGTGAAGGTTAGCAGTGGACAGCGCGCAAATGGAAGTTTGATACAGCTCACTAATATTAGTAGGAGTCAAGCTGGGGAATACAGATGTGAGGTCAGCAACGAATGTGGCAATGCAGTGGAGACAGTGAACATCACCGTACCATGTAAGTTGCAAAGGTGTCGCTCATGCCATGGTATTTTCGCGAAAATTTCTGTATTTTAAGAAGAGCGTGCAATGTTGTTTAGAACTCATAAATTCCTTTAGCTTAAGAAAACAGCCGCCACACTGATGATGCGTCACTACCCAGATCTGTGTAGTTCTTCTGATTGGATGAAGCAAATTATCAACCAATCAGGAGCACTTCCCAGATCTAAGTAGTGCTGCGTCATGGAATTTCTGCGCTCGTTCCTCAGACTTCATTTTGCGGAGAATCTAGTGGTGGCGTCGCGAATTGCCGGCTCTTTTCTCAGGCTAAAATTCCTGTTGTTAAAATTTTTTCAGCATCATAATGATGCAGGATCAGGGTAAAGTAGTACACAGTTCTATCCCTGCTCCTTTAGTTTTTAGTGTTTGACTGTTAGACTTCCATAAATCCTGAATACCGGCCTATATACAGACTTCTGCATTTCAACCCAGTCTATTGCGATCTCCCCAATCGTACGGATCGTCCTGTATGGCATCATTAACGTTTCTATATGATCGTCTCAATCGCCTGAATGCCGGCCTGTATACAGGTTGCGATCGTCCCAATGGTACGGATCGTCTTGTAACGCATGAGAGGTGTTCCATATGATTGTCTGCTGAACACATACAATACCCTTCCTAGATAAGTCTTCCCGACTGTCGGAAGATTGAAGGGCCACTAGCTGCTCGCTGGGTAATTTTAAGTCGAACCGGGTGATCGATACGACCCAGACGATTATATAGAAGAGAGGGGAAACAAGGGATAAAACCTCGGAAAACTACTTTGTAGTGCGCATTTTAGACAAATATACGTTGATCTAATTCTAAAGTGACCTTCACGCTTTTTTTCCTATATCTCTCCAACTTATGGCATGATTACAGGGTGTTGACAGTAATTGCCGTTGCACCTGAAAATGCATAAATTATTATTTTTAGTCAAACCTGAGAATGTACGTTTGGTAGCGACCAACATTGGGGATGAAGCCTGCCAGGACGATTCTGTGTCCCTGAGCTGCTCAGCTGATGCTAGTCCACCAGTCTGGTCTTACCAGTTTTTTGAAAATGATGTTCTTTTGGGAAGTAACAATTCAGGAATGTTGGCCACATCACTATCAAGTAGTGGAGAGCTCATCTACAGATGCGTTGCCAACAACCTTGTAGAAGCAGCAAACAGCGCAAATGTTTCGTTTTATGTTGGAGGTACTGTCACTTGTACATGTGAAAGCCTGAGGTCCCTCCTCTCTTTTTCTTGAAGAATGAATTTTTTCCGTTTTCAATAGAAAAAGAAAAATGAAAGAAAATCACGCCCGCACATATCGTCTGAAGAGTGGCACAGAGACCCCTCCGATATATCTGTGACGATACACTTTCAAGATCGGCGCGGCACAGCTTCTTACGTTGTCGCCTTTGAACAGAACCCCTATCCGATATGGTTTCCGTGCCAGCTCAAGGGGTATCTGTGTACAAAATATAGGATTCAATTGTCTTTGTCGACTCAATTGATAAAACAAAATCTTGCTAGCAATTCTATTCTCTTCTGTAAGAATGGCAGAGTGGAATGCTCCGGAAACTACGCAGTTCGCGCCTAAATGGGTAAGTAATTGCTTATTTCGCGAACAAATTGATACCAGATCACTTTTCATTTCGACAAGACAGACTATCCTGCTCAGTTGGGAGAGCGCCGGTCTGCTGAGCGGGAGGCCACGGGTTCAAACCCCAGCAAGACCAACACTCAGGGTCTTTAAATAACTGAGAAGGAAGTGCTGCCTTTGTAATGGCATCTGCAAACGGTTAGACTTCCTAGTCTTCTCTGATCATGATAAGGACTAAAAACGGTAGGTTCTGTCCCACAGCACTTACACTTATCTCGTTCTTGTGGGACGTAAAAGAACCCACAACACTGTTCGAAAAGAGTAGGGGACGTAGACCCCGGTGGTGTGGACAAATTCACACATCATTCACATCATGGGTTGGGTGGGTACAGTAAGCTCATAAATGGACTAAGAGTGGCTGCCAGGGGCGCCTTTGTATGCTGACGTCCAAGCTTACTGTTCACATGTTGATAATAATAATAACAATAATAATAATAATAATAATAATAATCAACTTTATTTAACGAGGGTAACAAGGGACAGTACTTCAACTGAATAACTAGTGGCCCTCAAGATAAACGTAAAGACGGCCGTAAAGACGGCACGTCTGTTGTCCTCTCGTCCATGACTCTTTCCTTCCTTCCAAAGTTAGCCATGCTGTGTTGTTATGTCGTGAAGCTGGTGTTATATGGCACGTGCAATTCGTGAAAAGAAAACCAATTAAGAAGAAAACGGCAGGTAAAAGAATATAACGGTAATCTTTCAACATTTGTTCTGGGGACTGCATGTAATTTTTGTTTGATTGCAGTACCGTCATCCATCCATCCAATCAATACAAAATGAGACTTTGGTTGAAGGTTCAAGCTGGAATCTGACCTGTAACGTGTCTGGAATCCCGCCACCCAACGTTACTTGGATCGAAGAGGGCAGTGGTCAACGCACACCAGGAAATGTTTTTAGGTTGATCGATATTTACAGAAATCAAAGTGGAAAGTACAGATGTGAAGCAAGCAATAGGTGTGGCAATAAGTCAGTGACTACATTCGTCAATGTGCTTTGTAAGTGAAAGGAATAATAATCATAAGAATATGTACAGTGAAACCTGCATTTAGCTTGCCTCGTTTTAATAAATCCCTTTCCAGTATCTTTTGCGTCGCTGAATTTAGCGATATCTATCTGTAATTTTCATGTTTGCAGAAAGATTAGCCTGCGAATTGCAGACGTATTTCCGGTCGTCGCTTCTCTAACCTCTGACATTTTCGGAGGGAGAGAAGCGACAATCCGAAGTACGTCTGCAGTCCACAGGCTACAGAATGATGGAACAGGGTAGAGTATAATTCGTATGCGATATGCAAAAAACTTGGGGTGATCAGATGGCTTGATTGTCCATGTGAAATTATATGGAAGTTGCATTTCAATTGTCCAAACAATTCATCTCTGTTTTTTTTCTGCCTCCTGCCTTCCTCTTCCTTTCTTTCCTCATTTATGCTTTTTTCTTATTTAGTCTCCCCCTTGCCCGTCTTGTCATTTCAGGAGCCCAAAATGTTTCGCTCTTGGTGTCCTTGCAAAATTTTCCAGCCATTGATCTTAATAGCCCCTCTTATCGACGTTTTCTTTGTATTTCTGTGCAAGAAATTCTTAGCTATTTCCCATAACTTCGAATTGAGAGCGTTCATTTTTGTAAAAGCGGTTCTTTCCAGCGTCCACGCTTCACTGCCATAGGTGGCTACTTGAAAATGCAAGTTTTGGGAATTTTTGTGATGTAGTTGTGCCTGAGGTCGTGTACACTAAACCTGGCATAGTAACAGGTGGTATAAAGAGTACCTACAACCTCTGGTTTAAATAATGTGGTTACTTCCTACCAAGTTTAAAACGGAGGACGAGGAGAAGGTGTGAATTTCCTTTTGCAACTGGTAGTCCTTGGCTTTTGCTAGTTCTCAACTCGACTAACTTGAAAGGCAGGGCTCGCCGTCTAATGCAAACCAACCTTGACTGTAACTAATATTTTACTATTGTCTTTTTTCCGTAGACCCTCCAGTCCTAACACACATTTCTAACAACCAGACACTTAATGCAGGCTCCAGTGTGACTCTGAACTGCTCAGCAGATGGTAATCCGCCTCCAGTCATCAGCTGGACAAGAGTATCCTATAACAGTGCTGTCGTCTTTCCTTTGACCAATATTGGACTACAGCATGAAGGAACCTACAGATGCACTGCTAATAACGGTGTTGGAAGTGCTGTTACTAGAGACGTATCCATTGTTGTACACTGTGAGTACTTTTGCACAGTTGCCTAGTTGGACGCTGTTTATCTGTCTTGAATTATTATATGCAGGTAGTCTATATGAAATCGGATGGGAATGGAATTGAATTATGTTTTCATTAATTTTGCTTGGCTGTCCAGGCTCATGTCACACGAAAGAAGTGTTCCGTGTGATGAGATCTGATGAGGTAGAGTCGCGGCAACTTTTCACTGCTAATAATGGTGTTGGAACTGTTTTACTAGATATTTGTCCGTACTTGTACATTGTGAGTCCTCTTTGCACTTTTTTGACGCTAATACGTCAAAAAAAGTTTTATAGTAATACATTACGTAAGTGGGCTTGAAAGTTTACGTAAGACAAAGAGTTTTTGTTAGCATTACGGGAAGAAAACAATTTTTTCTTAACTTGCATGTACACTTACATGTAGCGTTAGTAATATCCAATCATAGATCTTACTGTTTAGCTAAAAAAAATCCACTTTTAGTTGACAATGCACTTTGTTTTTGAACGTATCTGTGTAGCCGGTGTCTTGCCGTACAGCTCAGTTCAAAGTGGCCGCCACACCTGGCCCCGTCTTTTTCCCATTAAGTTTCCGTCCGATGGAAATGATTTTACCGTATATTCTACGGAAATTATGGGGAAGGCAGGGTCAGTATAGACGAAAGCTAGTTATAGATAAATAGATAAAAGCTAAGTATTCATTGCAAGGGAAACCTGAAATGTTACCTTACAGTTATTTTTGGTTTCAATTTTTAGTTCTTCCATTGATCGAACCGTTGGAAGAAAGAAAAGTTGTCGTTAGAGGGAAATCTCTTACTTTATTTTGCAATGTCTCTGAGAATCCAGCACCAGTTGTGTTTTGGACGCACGTTGAAAGTAACGAGAAGTTAAACAATAGCAAATGGGAAATAAAGGATGCTACAGAAAGGGATGTTGGAAGATACCAGTGTGACGCAATTAATATCTATGGACATGCCAGTGACACCACCGAAATCGTATTGTTACGTAAGTGTTTGTAAAGTCATGCACGTAACTATGCGTAACAACTTTGTTATGATAGAGGTTTGTTATTAAACATTCCTAATATTCCCCTGAGAATTAAACATTCTTAAGGCAGATGCCGTAACAACTTACGATCCTTTGGAATTTCCCAATGATTGTTGCCTACAAAGGTTTTCTTTCATTCAACAAATCTATTCTTCGTTTAACTTTACCATTTTCCCATCCATCGCATAACTCTAACTGCGGGATAAATCCCGAACACATCCCGTAATCACCTGATTCGCCCTTTGTTAGGGCCAACGCTCCCAACAATTCCCATCTTTTCAATCCTTCTACACTCTGAAACAAAAAAATTAAATTGAAAATAAATGAGAAACTAAAAGTTTGTATTTCATTTGCTTACCGTCACTATACCACGGTTTCGTAAGAAAAAAAAAAATATCTTTTTTTCAATAAAGAATTACTTCAGCTGTTTACGTTATTTCTTTTAAGAACCTTCTTGCAAAATCTCAAACAATTTATACGTTATACTTCTTCTTACGTAGGCTTTCCAAGCGTTTACTCTTTTCGGAGTTTTCAGAGCATTTTCTCTGTATAACTTTATTTACCGTGTTTTAAGTTGACTCCATATTTAGATGTTATAAATGAGGTAATATAAATCAACATGTGCGTTATTTTTTTTTAGAGAGTGTCACACCTTTTTCAACAACAGTTTCATCGGATACTGGAATGCTTAACAAAGATGTAATATATGGACCGGTCATTGGAGTCCTGGGATTGATCGTTATTTCAGCTTTAATATACTTGGTATTAAAGCATCAGAGACGTAAGTAACAGGAATCCTCTTAATTTCTAATTCCACTTGGAACGCAGAACCAGTTTTCAAATGCATTTTAGGCATCAAACCCAGTGGGTAACTCGATCTTTGTTGTTTCAGGTGAGTGCACGTGTCACAAATCTTCCTAATTCAACATGAACTCCGTCAAGCTGTTTCTACTTTTACCGTTTCCTATCCAAGTGGTATACGTGTATGATTTTCTTGCAGTACGTAGCACCCCTCCAAAACATTTGCCTAGGTTAGGTATTAAACTCAACTTTCCAATGGTGTTGGTTGCTAATGGTTTCCACGTACTAGCACTGAATGAGAAATTTGTAAACCTCATTTTCTTTCTTTTTTGAAATTAGGTCATCGAGCTGATAGGTAAGTTACAGACAAAACCTAATTTCCGTATGACTTTCATTTTTTTTTTAACTTTTATCTGGAAAACAATGTAGAGTATTCGTCATTTCTTGTATCTGATGAGATGTTTTATTTATTTAGACAATATGATAACCAAAAAGAATTACACAGATCTCACTTGGTAAGTACTAAAACTGGGGGGACACAATGCGGCGTCGGGATAAATATCTTAGCATATTCATACCTATTAGTTCATTTTCGCGAAAAAAAAAAAAAAAACTATTCTTAATTGTTCAAAGATAATCCTCGGTGGTTTGATGACAATTTTTTTGAAAAAAAGATATCTGCATGGTATTGTGTCAAGCAATATGAAAGAAAAAAAGAAGTAACAAGCAAAAGACGTAGAATCAAGGTTTTTGTTCTTTGCATTCTTACAATTAACAGAACCAAGGTTTTCAAAATGAAAGCAATAGTAATGGAGAGCGTGAAATACCTGGTCCAAGACATTACATGGAGTTGGGAGAAGTTACAGAGTTCCTTGGCGAATCAGCAGAAACAGGAACAGAGGCATCACCTTATTTGGAGATTAATGAATATGCTCCATTGCATCCAGCAACTCGATCCTGGGAAGTTGAAAGAGAAAACGTCACCATTGAAAAGGTGATTGGAAAAGGTGCATTTGGACAGGTTGCTCAAGGAACAGCCTCAGAGCTGCGAGGGAGAGATGGAACGACAAGAGTGGCCATTAAGATGTTAAAAGGTAACTTCTCAGTTACACAGAATGTTTTCCTTTTCATGGCATGTGTCTTTAAATAAGATCCGGTTAAACAAGGTGCATACCTGGGGCACCAAACAACAACATCAACCTCTATTTACTTGTCACCTAACTAGGTAAGATAGTGCTGACCCGCAAAGTAGCAGGAACACTAATCGAAGCGGGTCAGGCACAGATAAAATATTAATTTATATTATTTACATTATAATTAGATACATATAAGTTAAAAGAAGGTTGGAAGAAAAAAAAGTAAGAAAATATTATAATCGTATTTTAAACGAAATTAGATAACATTTTAATCTGCTGATATTGGTGTAAGGAAAACATAAGCAATCCTGGCCAGGGTTTTTAACCTTTCAAACGAAAAAGGAGAATAACATCTACTACCAACAATTTTATTGGGGCTTAAAAGATCGATAAAAGCTGGTGCGTTTATCAAAATATTTCTTACTTAATAAATGGGGGTTAAGGAAATTGTTAAACTGGCCGTGGACGTGGGAACAGTACCCAACCCGTGGTAGGGTAACTCTAATTGAGTAAAATAATATTTAGGCAGTTAAGCGTCATGGTTAATAAAAAATAGTAACACCAACTGGAGGAAATGTCCCTGTACCACCAGGAATGCTTGGTAGTGAGCAAATGCGCAGAAAATCCCAGAGTAACAAATTTTTGACATGCCGTTTTAGTGGTCGTTTTGTTTTTTAAGGCGCTCTCTACAAATTACACATTTTGCGTGAATGCATATACAATTAGCAAGCGCTGAATGAACAGCTTGCATTGGAGGTTTGTTTGGTTCTATTTTTTTTCATGTTTCACATGAAAGAAGCCAGGGATCATGTTTTTACTGGAGTGACTAAAGAAAACCCTCGTCCTCTTGCTAATGACACTAGATCAGCCCTGTCTGGTTAAAATGGGAGTTCCGCTTTACAGTTATCGTTTAATCATGTCTTCAACCTGCAGATAACGCCCGCGAGACTGACAGAGAGGATTTGATGTCAGAACTTGAAGTGATGAAGAAACTTAAACCTCACCCACACGTTATAAAGCTGATGGGATGTGTTACTGAAAGTGGTAACAATATTTACATAATCATGTTACGTGATGGTTTTAATTTACGTGCCTGTGGTAAAGGGCTACGATATATTTGCTGATTGCTTTTGCCATCTAAAGACTTACACTTTAATGTCATTGACCCGTCAAAAAGCCCACGTGGCACGAAATTTAATTTTAATTAATTTTTCCCTCTGTTTTAGTTAATATAGCCAGTCTTTAAACCTGGTCAAAATCCTTCTAAGGCCACTTTTTAGCGTTTGAAATGTACCCCGACATCGCCAGCCGAACAAGTGTTACGTCATACACAAGTGGCGTTAAATTCGCACATTCCAGGTATAAGCACGCACCATGGCAGGGTTTTGTGGGTCACATTTGTGTAGTCAGGTGACACCGTTCAGACTTTTGTGAGCCCTTAAACTAGAACTCGTCTCCATACCAGGGACTGCTCTAGGAGATATGTTTAAACAAAGCAGCAAAAAGACACCTGCTCCAAAATTTAAAAATTAACTAGAGTCCCATAAATAGGTTAACTGCCTTTGAGGGACATTAAAACCACCAGGACCTGAACACCACATCTTGTTATACTGAATCTGATATGACCTTGACTTTGTATGATCTTATATTATTATACGGTCAATTTTGACAGACCCGATACTCGTTATCATTGAATATGTCCCGTATGGTGATCTCCTGGGTTATCTGAGAAAGAGCCGTGGGCTTAACGACACTTACTTTAAAGACCCGGATGTTAAGCCTCAAACAAGTCTGACGTCACAGCAGCTGATGAAGTTCTCTTGGCATGTAGCTGAAGGAATGAGATATTTGTCTTCCAAAAATGTTAGTTTAACATTGAAATTTTCTTATTTCTTCCGCAGAAACTATCATTTTATTTTTATGTATTTGCATTGCAGCGTGGATTATGCTGAACAAATGATACTAATTGCATAGAGTGTTTTCGAAGGAGATCCACACCAAATCACTCTATAATTTTGTATATACTTTTTATGGCCCTTTCAACTTGTCACTAAGTACGTTCCTCCTTTTCTATTGATGGGCTGGATTGAATTTGGAACGGTTTTTTTACTGAAATTAATTTAGTCTGTATCATAACTAAAAAGGGATGTTTTTATGTATTTATCATCTTCATTTTGTTTTTATCCGGATTCGTTCGGACGGGGCCTCACACGAATCCGGATAATTTAGAAACCGCACCCTTTTTTATACGAAAAGGCATTCCGTCCACACGAACCCAGTGAATCCGCACGCAGAAACCACATGTTCGTAAATTGCTCTTCAGAGTGGATTTTTTTTTATCCGACGCGTTTGGTGAATTCGTCTGAGGCACCCAACGAGAATTAATAGTTCGAACCCAATTAAACATAGCACTGTTAAACGTATTTTATCCCCTAAAAATTTTTCATCTGTTCGAATTTCCTAGCTGAAAGCTAGTCTAGTGATCCGAAAATTATAGGGATCAAACATACCTTTTCGAAAATTTCAGCCAGAAAAAAGGCTCCCGAAGATTCTAGGTGACCTTTTAGCGTAAAAATCCGTTAAAAATGGGCAATTATACCATTTTTTAGATGTTCGAAAATTCTAGGAGAGGCAGGCAAGCAAGAAATTTTACAAAAAACGTTCCGAAAACTCTAGATCTCAAATCGTCTTCCGAACAGATATTTGCCGAAAATTGACGTTAGGTGCCTCTGAATTCGTGTGGACTACTGAAGCCGATACTTGAAGTGAACTACGTCATCACCTCGAGGTTCCAGTTTTAGTGAAAACTTTCAAGTTTATTATGGCGGACAACAATGTTCTGTTTGCAACTTTGCTGGCTCTTATCGCCAGACTAATATTGCATGTGTTGAAATCAATTTTTCTATTTTCACAACAACAATTAGCCATTCCAAAAGAAGACTTAAGTCATCAAGATTGTGGAATTTTTTAGTTCCAGACGAAGGTAGCTAGTAAAGCGTCTTCTCTCTGTACCTCGTCAAAGAAGATTTTGGGTTCTTCCAGCGCGAAGAAGTACCTGGCGGGAAAATGTACGGGCGGGCCTGGCGGTTGTGCTCGGTACAGCTTTAAAAACATTAAAAAATGCCCCAAAATCACATCGCGGGCGCGGTTTGAGAATGCCTAAACCAATTGTGGAATTTAGGCATCCTACTGATGAACAGTTTCGACTTTTAGAAAGTTCAAGAAACTATAGAATTTGCCGTCTGTCCTCTGTGGAGTGGTAATTAGCAAATGTAAATCAAAACGTGGCCTGAGGCCCCGTCCACATAAATCCGGATACTTTTGAAACCACTTACTTTTTTATACGAATCGGCCTTCTGCTCACACGAAACCAGTGAATCCTCAGACGGAAACCGCATATTTTTGAAACCGCTCTCCACAGAGTGATTTTTTTTTTATTTGACGGGTTTGGTGAATTCGTGTGGACGACTGAAACCGAATATTTTGAAGTCAACTACGTCATTAACTCGGGTCCAGTCTAAGGGAACTTTTCATTTGTCAGAAATGACCGGCCAGACCAGAATTTTAGTTTCAATAGTACAGTACAGTATCTTTATTAAATCTCCACTAAGTGGCTCTTCCGATTTAATTTACAAAATGGAAAAAAAGAAAGAAGAAGGAGAAAAAAGACTAATTTACAAATCTAATTATTAATGAAAAATGGGAAAACTAGGAATAAAATTAAATTAAAAAATAGCTACGATAATATATCGTATATACTATATACATATACATATTCTCATTATTGACTTAAAAGTACTCTAATTATGACATATAAAAACTGTTGTAGTCATGCAATCAGTCACCTGGTTCTCGGTGTGACATAGCTCCAATTTTGCACCACGGTTAAAGCTAGTGAGCGTTTTACTATTTCTTGTGCTTTCCCTTAGAGAGTTCCTAGTGTTGATAGATCGATAGTGAAAGGAACGTTGTGCAGTGGCTGTCCTTCACACAGGAACGTCTAGATTTTCCCTGAATCTGGTATTATAACTATGGATTCCTGTTCTTTTATTGATGTAGCTGTTTAAGTAGGAAGGCCAAGTGCATTCACTATTTTATACAACTGTGTGACATCGCGTACTAACAGTAGATGTTTAATAGAGGACCAACCCAGTTCCTGCAGGACTGGTGAGATATGGTCGAACTTCCTAGTATTAGTTGAAACTCGGGCAGCAAAATTTTGCCCAAGCTGCAGTTTATGAATGTTCTGCTCAAAAGTGCCAGACCATACAGTAGAACAATAAAAGAGCTTACTAAAAACCAAACAATTCAAAATGGTGACGAGTAAGGATTTGGAAAATAGATGCCTAACTTTGCCTATCTGACACAGAGTAGAGTAGAGATAAGGGAAGAAGTCATTGTATTTACCTGTTCATTAGATGTAAGGTTCGAGTTTAGTATGATACCCATATCTTTGACAAAGGGTACGGGGGCTAGGTTTTGGCCAAGAAAAGGAACTCTGACATCCAGAATTTTACTTATAATAGCTGTCGTATTCCAAACAAAATAAGTTTCATTTTACTAGGATTTGATGAGTAGCTTATTAGTAAAGCACCAGGCGGCGATGAGACGAAGATCTTCGGTAACTTTAGTCAGGCAGGAGTCAATGTCCTTGGATGAGATCGAAAGGTAAACCTTGGTATCATCGGCATATGACTCGACACTTGAAAATTTGACAACGGAGGCTAAGTCATTCATGTAGAGACTGAACGGGAGCGGCCCCAAAATGGATCCCTGAGGTACGCCATGTGTAACGATTAGCTCTTAAGGGCGAGATGTTCCTAGTCGTGTTGACTGCATACGGTCGGTAAGGTAGCTCTCAAACCACTTCGACGCTTTACTTTACTCACCCAGACCTTGCAACTTAAGAAGGAGTGTCCTGTGACATATGCTATTAAATGCCTTGCTTAGATCGATCAGGACCATAGCCGTTATCTCCTTCTTGTCCATTGCTTTGAAAATGTAATGCGACCAGTAACAACCAGACTCAGGGTTTCGGTAGAGTGGTATTTGCGATTTCCACTCTGGTGGCATGTGAGGTTGCCTTGTTGAGCCAGAAAGTAATTAAATTGATTCAAACCATCCAGCCAGATCTGTCAAATCCTACATGGCGTGTAGGGAGGAGATGATTTTTTTTAGCAAAAACTCTTGGAAAAAGCCTATTTCATGGTCAAAATGATTGGTCAGGCCATGGTCCGCCGGCCAGTTCTGACTTTTGGAAAGCGCCCTTGAATGAAAACTTTCATTTGGCGGACAACAATCAATGTTCTGTTGCAACTTTGCTCGCCCTTAACGCCAGTCTTATTGCAAGAGTTGAAACCAATTTTGCTATTTTGACGACGATAATTAGACACTTGAAAAGAAGACTTAAAATGCCCTGCCTAGGCCCCCTTCATATGTATCTGGTGTCAACGGTTCCCAAAAACGCAGCTTTTCAAAAACGCTCTTCAGAGTGGAGATTTTTGAAAACGCCGGCTTCTCATTTTCGTGTGGATGGACCAAAACGGAGGTTTTCGAATACGATGATGTCATATATCATATATACTACTAGCATTATGCATGTTTCGTAAAAGATGGTATGCGCTTTCGTTTGGTCGGGCGAAAACGATTCGAATACGTAGTGGCGTATTCGTGTGGATGGATAGTCCAAACCGGATACGCCACACCGAATTCGTGTTGACGCAAATATGAAGTATGCAGTACATAAGCTTATCGGGATTCGTGTGGACGTGGCCTGAGTGTCTTTTCTTATTTAATTGACTTAGTTTATTAACACGTTGGAATCAAGAGAGGATAAAGGGGACAGAGAAGGCATCCCCCATACACACCCTATTCTATAGGTAATTCGTCTCCAGTTATTTTTAACACCACAGATCTCAAGGGGGATTAGACAAGAGCCAATCACATAGCGCGACTGCGTTCCGCGTGGATGACCCATGCTCAGAGCCACGCGTCCTTCACGAAATGACGCAGAACAAAATGGCGGAAGACGGGGAGAGCGATATTGCCATTCGTTTTGTCGACGAAAACGACAAAAGCGAGATTTCTGCTAAAGCTGTATCAGCGAAACGGAAATTAAAAAAGAATCGCCCTTCCTCTCTTGAATAGAGCTAACAGTACAGCAGCGAAATCCTTAACAAACTGAATATTCTCTCAGGATCATTTATATTTTACAGTTTGAAGAGAGACATTTCTGGTTTGATATTTATTCTTTTATTAGTCTTTTATTATTCAACAAAAATAACACTCGGCGTCCTACTTGCTTTATTATACAAACGACCGGTTGCAATAGACCGCCGAAGTTTCTCATTTTATTAAAGCACTGAGGTTACGACAACTTCGAGTCAAACTGATTTCACGGGTTGTCAAAGAGTCCAGCGATTCCCTTTTCCCAGGTGAGCGCCGACTCATTTCGCTTCAATATTCAGGAATGCTCTTGATCTTTAACGCTTTCATTGCCTTTCGCCCGACATGTTTTGTACGGCGTTTAGTCACGCGAAACCTCCACGAAACATCCACGCAGCGAGCAAGGTAACTTTATCCCGATTCTAAAAATAACTCGAGACGAATTACCTATGGAATAGGGGGTGTATGGGGGATGCCTTCTCTGTCCCCTTTATCCTCTCTTGGTTGGCATGTTGGAAAAACATGTATACGTAGTGCATGTCGAGAATTGGGAACTACAAGATAATACAATTGTTTGCTGTAGTGGTTAATATAGTTTATTGTTTGTTCCAGATAATTCATCGAGACCTTGCTGCTCGCAATGTTTTGGTTGGGGAGCAAGAAGTATGTAAGGTTACCGACTTCGGAATGGCCAGAGACGTAAATCAGGAAAATATTTACCAGAAGAAGAGTAAGGTTTGTGGAATATCTTGTCAAAAAGAAATTCTCCTTGGACTTATGCCTTGTTTAATTGTTTATTGTTCCGATAACTTCAGAGAGGATCTGGTTCCTTCACTCGAGTTCAGTAATCCAATCAACGACAATAACAAATACCTTTCAAATGCTTTATGCTTTCAAATGCTTTAGAAAACAACCACCGCGGTTTTCCTGTTGACTGAGCTCCGAATTGCTAACTTGTAAAAGCTTACTCCCCTTCCAAGCAAATGAATATGTCGACATGCCATTTAAATCTGAAATGGTGAATTGGTTTGTTTTTCTTCTTATTATGTATTTATCGGCTCAGTCAGAAAGAAACGGCAGCGCAGGTTTTCTAACAGCCTTCGAGTTCTGCATAGTTGTTCAGATCATACGAAATTAAGCCAAATTCAATAATTGTTTTATTATTCATTCAAAATATTTCTAAGTTTCTAAGCTTACCTCCATGCGACTTTAGTAAGTAAGTATAAGCAAGTAAACACTTTATTTAGAGAGGGTAACACTAACTAGCTAGAAGCTATTGAACATGTGGCCCTCAAAAACTTAGAAAAGAAAAAGATACAAAAAATGCAAATATCTAAAAACTATTTCTATCTAATCTAAAAATACTATAATCTAAAAATATCAAAAAATTCTATGAAAATTATACATGTAATCAAATATTAAAAGCAAGCTAAATTTTAAAATGATTAAACTAAGCTTTTCGTTAAAAATTAAATTAAATAACGTCTTCTTAAAAGCAGGAAGAGAATTCTTACGTCGTAATTCTAAAGATAAATTATTCCATAGTTTCCAAGCTCTAACTAAGAAAGACTTTCCACCCTCTGCCTCGCGTATATACTTAGGGCAAACTAAGTTCAATTTAGCATACCTAGTATTTCTAGTATGACCTTGATTATTAACAGTAAAATCTTCGTTTAAATAAATGGGTAAGGTACCCTGAATAAGTTTGAAAACTAGAGAGCAACTACTTATCTTATTTTCTTAATAAAAAGGAATCCATTTTAACCTATTCAAATAAGAGCACAGATGGCGAATCACCATCGGCAGATAGAATAACCCTAGCCGTCCTTTTTCGCAGCCTAAAAACTCTGTTTAAAGTTTCGTTATCACAACTTGACCAGATAACACTAGCGTAAGTTATTGTAGGATGAATTATCGAATTGTAATGTAACAATCTTTGGTTAAGATACGTGGCCCGTAAGGGACATTGCCAATTTTTTTTGGCTTAATAAATATAATAATAATAATTATAATAATTATAATATCTAAAATTAAAATATATAAAAATAATATATAATATAGTAATATATAAAATTAAGTAAAATAATAATAATGATATATAATTTTAAATCATCGCGCGACAAGTTTGAGTTATCGCGCGATAATTAGTCACTTTATTGCGCGATAAATTGCAACATATCACATGATAAAGAGAAGCTGGAACGAAGCACGTGGAGAGATACAGTAATGGTAACACAAAATGTTATGCCGTAATAGGAACGTCAAATACAAAACTTTAATCCTGGCAATTTTGAAGAACAAAACTTTAATTCTGGATTAACGCTAGTCGGCCTTTCAGGAACCGGGCCCTGGTGGACATATTATTTGTTCATTTCTTTGGATGAGTTTGGACTCGGTCCTCCTTATCATGTAGATATTTTAAGATTTTCTAAATTACTCTTTGCCTAGTATGCAGAGCAAAATTACGATTATAAATCATGAAGTTCATTCGTATCAATCTTGCGAAATGCCTCTCAGATTGTGCAATGAAATACTTGGGAGAATAAATGATCTCCTCTTGTCCCACAGTGAAAACAATCCCGGGGGAGAGGAAGGGCGGTACTCCCTCATATAACACATATAAGTATGTGCCGCCCCAAAGGGTATGGTTTTGGTGCGGTTTTGGTCTGAAAACAGGTATGGTTCAGTGACCAGAAAACCGCTCAACTAGTTTCATAACGCGTTTCCGGCACAATCTCTAGGGGGCGAATGGGCTGCTTATTCAACTTACTAATAACTGTGTGCTGTAAATTTCTTCTCAACGGTCGTATGACACACGGCTCTTTTCAGAGCCACAGCATAAGCTTACTTAAAAAGTCTTGACTACTCTTTTTTTATACTACGGTTTGTCTCTCAGGACTAGTGATATTACTGTAAGTAAAAACTTGCAAGAGGTACGTGATAGGCCGCACATCTTCACCGGCGTGAAACCTTTGAAAACCTTTTACATATTGCTCCAGTGAGGCTTTCAGGGATCTTACATTTTAAAAATTGAACGTTGATATAGCTTCTATATAGCGGACCAAGATACGGTTCGGTACAGTTTATGTTCAGCAGGGGAAAATTTTGTAAGTTGAGCAGAACGTTTAAAATGTACAACAGACAATTTATTCAGTTCGCGCGTATTTCTGTTGAACTTGTAGCCCGTTTATGAGATATGTCTATTCAAAAATATACTATTTTTTTCCAAAGCTGCTGTAATCTTAGGGTATCTGCTTTTAATATCTCCGTACAGCTTAGGTTTATGCGATCTCAGAGAACCATGTTAGGCTGTACACAGCAAGTAGTCTTTATTATATCCAGATCTGACACTGGTTTTGGGTAGTTATCACGTCTTTAGTAGTAGCTGGCTTAAAAGTTAGACTATAACCCCTTCTTAGCATGATAAAGAAAGGGTCAACATCAAGATAATGCATGCATACATGCATGTAACGTTCCCGCTTCTCTTTATCATGTGATATGTTACAATTTATCGCGCGATAAAGTGACTAATTATCGCGCGATAATTCAAACTTATTGCGCGATGAACTGACTAATTATCGCGCGATAATTTAAACTTATCGCGCGATAAGTTGAAATTATCGCGCGATAATTTAAGCAAAAATATATATATATATTGTAATGTCCCTTACGGGCCACCGTATTAAGAGGTAGATAAACTCTGATTTTTCTGAGAAGCGCTCTACGTTGAGAAAGTTTCTTACAAGTTTTATCAACATGTTGACTGAAAGATGACTGTCAATGTCCAAACCCAATAAAGTAGCGCTAGAAACATTGCTCACTAATTCATGGTAATTAAACTTCATTAAATATACCATCGAACAAACTCGTTTATCGCTGAGCATCTTCCAAATGTGGTCAGCGCCGGTTGGTTATCGGGAATTTGCACGGGGATTGCAGCCAATGGGAAGCGGCGAAATATATTGAATTAGTAACAAAAAAACATTGAATGTTGTGTTGACACAGGGGCGAATTCCAGTGAAATGGACAGCTTATGAAGCACTTCTGTATGGACTGTATACTACAAAGAGTGATGTGTGAGTTGAAACCAAAAGAATTCATTTTTCATTTTCAACTTTGTAAGCGTGCAGTGGTTGGGCAACGCATTTCTTCCGTCAACCATATCTTTTGAATTCTCTAAGTTGCATTGCTGTGTATGTTATGCTATATGTGATTCGTAGCTGTATATCTAGCTAAACGTCGTTGTAACTTTCCATTGAATGATGCAGTTGTATTTGTCTCTAACATCTTTTTTGCTTTAATGTAGATGGAGTTTTGGAGTTGTGCTTTATGAGATATTCACCGTAGGTAAGATACGATTAGAAACTACTCTTAACAGCCATGTGCTCCCACCCTACGCAACTCACTTTCCCCCCTCCCATTGTAATTTTGTCCCAACGATTTCGAATACCAAATAAAAGTATGAATCTCTTATCAGAAATTCAAAGGGAAGAAGACAGTGCTCTCACAAGACCCTTTACTTTCTCAGAACTAGAGTCATTGCTTCAAAACTACGAAAAAGTACAGAAGAAACTAAGAGCCTGATACCTTGAATAACTTATACTTCTTCTGCATTACCTGTGTTATCTTTTTTGGCAATTTTAATTGTTGTTTTTCCTTGAGGTATAATGAAAACCAGTTTTACGCGAACTCAGAACACAATTACTACCTTTTATAATTTTAAAGTATATTTTTAAGGTGGATCACCTTATCCAAGAACTGAAGGAAGGAAAATGTATTCGCTCCTCAGTCAGGGCTACAGAATGCCAAAGCCGAGCCACGTAGATGACACTCTGTAAGTAAAAACGAAACAAAACAAAACAAGCCGAGACAAAATTAAAACAATCAGTGACTCCAATATCATAGGAAGTCTAGTTTCCCATAGGCTACAGAGATAATTATTAGCAGAAGATTGAATGTACAGTGTAAGTGGATTGTAGCTGCCTTGTTTTCAGCTATATTTAATTTTGAGGCTTAAACATTAGCCTTGCACTTCTGACAGGAAACCACCGTGTACCACAATTTAACCTTTAATCTTAAGTGAAATGAAATTACCAAATGAATACCATTACCATTCTAGCAATAGGCGGCTCTAAGATATCTCATATAACGTGTTGCCAGTTCTCTCCAGTTTTGGCTACAAGATCAGTAGCGCGGAAAAAAAATTAGGACCAAGCATGGCTAAAAAGCTTTCATTATAGCTGCTAGTGGATTTCTTTGAGTCGTTTAGTTTATGGACTGCGCTAATGCTTTAATATTTATCTTCAGGTACCAGATTATGCTTAGTTGCTGGCAAGAGGATCCCGATAATCGTCCAACCTTTGAAATACTGGGACGCAAATTAAAGGAAATGGAAAATCAACACAAGGTATAAGCAACACTATAGCAAAAAAAAAAAGGCACAGTTCAGGCAAAAGAGAAATTTGGACCTTCTACCTTAGGACCTTGTATTATGTTTTAGTCAAATGCTTTGGTCCATAATCACCATTTTTTGGAGGGTCTGCAACATTCTGTTTGCTTTTGATGGTAATTTCGAGATATGTACGCATGTTTTAAAATATATGTACCTTTCATATCACGATGATGTTACACCCAAGGGTAGGATAAATACTAGTTATGCAATGCCTTCCAAGGCATTATATCGTGAAATGTCCCACGAGTGACTTGATGTTTCTTAGGCCTAGGCCAAACGTCGAACTTTTCATGAGACGAACCTAACTCCAATTTGGGTCAACCTAAACTAAGTTAAGATCGTATGTTGAGTCACCCGTCGAACTAAGGACGGGTCGAACCAATCAACTGAATCAGACTAAAATCAGACTGAATCAGGCAAATTTAGCCATTTAGTGATAAGTTTTCTCCCGGAAGAGGCTAAATATACATTATCATACAAATTTTCAGTTTAGTTCCTGTCATAAGAAAATCGAAGTTTGTCTCAAATGTAGTCTGTCTATAACAATGTCCAAATGATCGATAGCTTGTCAATGAATAAAGTTCGTCTTCCTCTGTCTACTTTACCTGCATCCTGAAGAAAATAGCAAGACCGCTGTCGAATGTTCCTGACGCGATTTCAGATAGGCGTTTTGTTTCGAAGTGCAGTTGTGTATCCACATCAGTCTTCGCAAGTTTATGGTAAACTGTTTTTTTTTTTTTGTTAATCTCGGTTGGAAAATTCCCAAACTTGTTTGTCCGTTACATTGTCTGTTTGATTTCTTTTTGTATTACCATTTATCTTTGACTTCTAAAAAGTCCGGATGGTAATTAAAACTCGTATAGCGGAGCTCTCCAGTGGAGCACCATGGGTAAGAAAATTTGGTTATTCATGCATGCGAGAAATTTTGGTTGTCACGTGACCGTACGCCCTTCCTCCCGTCCACCCGTTCTTCCGTCCGCACACAGGGTAACCAATGTGAAATGACCTGTTTTCCCGTGTCGAGGCTGCAACCTGAGTTTAACATGATGATAAACGTCGATGTTATGGTAATCTTGGCCACCCGAACTTTTAGAAAGAGAAAAACAACAACAACAACAACAAAGCCGTCTTAACTGAGAAAGGGCTAGAGCGAAAGATAAACAAAAAAACAAAAACAAAAAAAAGTCAAATTTGAAAATGGAAATGATAAATTTTAGCGGCCAGTATGGTGAAGATGAGCGGCAGTGAAAAAGAAAGCGAGCAGGAACACAAGAAACAAAATTTTTTGTTAGAACATGAGACGTTGCCTCCAAGAAACGAGTAACTAGAAAGTTTCACGCTGTAGTCGTGCAAGACAACGACAAAGAAATGCAAAAAAGAAGTGTGCTGCACGTGCAAAGTTGTTGTTGCTTATGAGACGTGTTGTTTTTTTTTGTTTGCGTGTTTGTTTTGCCGTTCTCGTTGCCTCCGTCGTTTAGCATTACACGATTGTATTTTTTCGTGAGTAAAGTGACGAGAGCTTCTCTGTTAGCCCTGGCTAAATCTGTATGTTAGTGTTGTTTGCAACCTTGCTTGTCAAAGATTGGTTAGAATGAAAAGCTTTGGCTCTCGCTATCTGGATATCCGCTCTGCTTTCGGGGAAAATGTGGAGGCCGCAAGCATCGCCTGGATTTTTTTCTTGAAATAAGACCCGTTTCATATCGCAGAATATGGATTTCTAGTTTTCTGATTGGCTGTATTGTGAATGGCGTGGGATAAAACTCCCGGTCATCGAATACTCAATTACAGTTGCAATTAATGCTTGGCTCAGTGTCTGAGTAAGTAACGAGCATTTTAAACTCTTTTTTTCTCGCAGAGGCTTATCAACATGAAAGACTACGACAAGAAGCTGTACGAAAATGTGGAGGATTTAATAATTTAGAAGGCAGTGGCCAGCATTCACAAAGTAGTTTTTTTTCTTTTGAAACTCCGGTGAATAGAGCTCTGTGACTGAAAATAAAAATGACGAAGTCATTTTGCCTAAAAAAATTAATTGTTTATACTATTGCACTCACTAACGCCTTTTTGAATTCTTTAAGACTAGATCTTAACAATCTTTTAAAATGATGAAAAGGGCAATGATAATAATCAGAGCAACTGTATGTACCAATCATTGTATACAATGGGCATACTAAGTAAAATCGTTTCTTAATTTTTAATATGTTGACAGCTAATAGAAAGGTATATGATAAGCCGTCTTTATATCCTAACCACTACTTCACGGCTAAAAGAAAAATATATTTTTCAAAAACATTTGGGAGAGTTGTACTTTTTGAATCGTGCAGTAAAGGCTGCTGAAGCTCGGCGGGTTCGCGCTCTACCAGTGAATTTTAGCTGCAAAGCATGCAGTTGTTTCTATTGTGCTAGTCTCACAGGCAGCCGTGCTTTGAAACACAAAACGGCCGCGTAAGATACTAGTCTAAGAGAGGAATACTTTAGGAATATTTATGTAGGGATGTGCCTTTGAAACCCCTGGATTCTTAACCTATTTTAGAGTTAGTTCGACTGAATTTCACTTCCTTATACTGGACTAAAGCCCAAAAATCTCTCCCTATTCTAGAGTCACTGTTTTCCAGCAATTACTGAGGAAGACGTTCTCTTTGTAATTAAACTGAGTGGCGGATAAATGAAGATTTGGGGATTTTATTTTGTTGAGTGTCAATTCCTGATTTTTCAGTCTAGACTAAGACTTTCAACCAATTGATCAGAGTGGAAAATGATGCCCTATTCTAAACCCAAACTCTCTGATTTCTTTACCATATCCCAGACTAAACTGCTTGAAAACCATACCCTTCACAGCAACAAATAGCTACAAATACCTATATTAATACAGTATCTGATATATGGATATATGGTAGCCCTCCCTGCTAGGGATGGAGTGTATCACGATTGTCAGAGGGACACACGGGGGACCACATACTATGCTACATTATCTGCTTGAGTGGAAAATCTCAGACTTTAGAAGAATACAAAATTGCATCCGCCTTTTTCATCTTTCGATAATCGTCAAAGGATATTTCCTCACGGTCTGCAGTGTAATATTTAGGTCATCACGTGACAGGTGTTCCAATATTCCGGTCCCCATTGCATGTCCTATTTTATTCATAAGTCTTGTGTTAACTTTAATAAAAGTGTTCTTTAATTTCCTGTTTCCCTCAGTCATTGCTTGTATCTCCCAGGTTATATGCGCTTTGCCAAAAGTACCCACAGTCTCAAGTTCTGCCGCTGTCACATGAATCTTGAGTAAACGCGTACATTTTGCCGTTTAGTATAGTCAATTCAACCGGACTAGGCCCAGTAAGGTCTGTAAAAATACTCTGTTTCCTTGTAATTCGTCATGAATTTGTGCCAGGAAATGTGACGGAGTAACTTATCTTTATGAGTTATTTGCTTTTGCCGCTTTTCACCCGTTTGGTGTGCTTTGTTTTGTTTGCTATTAATCTTACGTGTAACTTACATTTCTGAGTCTGATTTCGTTGCTAATTTATTGCATGAAGTAGTTTTCAGTCAGAGATTAAGCTTATAGTAATAAGCCCCACGTTTTCAATTCAGCCAGAGGAAATTAACCAATTATTTTAGCTGTGTAATTTACGTTTCTCTTCAACCTTTCATTAAAAAAATAATAACAAATAAATGACCGGATTAGTCTAAAACTAAGCTAAATATGTTTGTTTTAGTGCCTCAATTCTGATCTCTGTTTACCAAATAACGGTTGAGCTAATCGGTCAACAAGTATCATCGACTTGTCTAACGCTAAAAATCTTGGAGTTGCCTTTAAAAGACACTATCAAGGATGGCAGTTTCAAACATACGCTCCCTAGCTAGCTATTTATATTATTTCATTTGTTCTTGTCAAGATGCGTCGGACCCTTTTTTACCAACCAATAACAAATCCAGGAATTTTCAATTCAGCACAACTGGTGTCTACTTACAGGAACCAATCAACAGCGAGAATAAGTCCCACGTCATGCAATGGTAGATTGACAGTTTAAAGAACAATGATTGTCATGACATCAGAGCCTGGTATCCCAGCTGCGCCAATTTCGAGAGCAACAACTATAAAACTGAGGTGTTAAAGACGAGTGAGAATTGTTAATTATGTAGACGAATGAGATATACACATACTTAAGAGCGGATGTCTGTAAATATCGACCAGAGGTGGGAAAAATAAAATTTTTGAAAAATCCTCAAAAAATTACGTAGACTCCCCTAGGTACTCTAGTAATGAAAATATAAATGTTAGTTTCATTGGATCAATATTTTGGCGATACGGCGAATGATCAAGTTCGGGCGATTGACGGCCTCCGCCAGACCGCTTTTTCCGGCCCCTAGACCGGGCTACGAAAAGACCACGATTTCAATCGAATTCAAGTGTCATTCAACCCAAAAAGCTTCTTATCGTATTAAAAGGGGTTTAATACACATACTGAGTGGTCATGTTCTTGAACTGATCGCAACTCGAATATTTTGTGGATTTTTAAATATTTACAAAATTTTAAGGCTTTTACGCGAGCACAATATTGTCAGATTTCAAAGGCCTAAAATCACATCCGATACATGATTTCTAACAGAAAAAGTCATTCCACGTTAAAAAGCAATCTCTAAGCTTTCAAAATATGCTTTCAAAACTCTGGGCAACATGTGAAATGAATTTTTGGGAACGTAAAATTCACAGAGCACTTGAGTGTAATTTGACCTTTCTGACTCGACAGTCAAGAGGTTCGGCGCGACACAAATCATTCCTCCAACAAATATTTCAGCCAAAATACGTTAAATTTAGGCTACCTCAAGTCCCAAAGTGATACATAGATGCTTCATATACATTAGGTGGAAAGTTTCATGCCATTTTGTCAGCTGTAAAGAACTATTTCTCTGGCCTTCGGGTGCAGTAGTTGAACTGGCCTCGCTAATGTAAACATTTGGGTCAAGTTCTTATCACGAAACAGCGAAGTTTCCAAAATGTACACTATCTATCCTGTCTAGTAGATAATCAGGTCTACAATTTGTTTGTTTGTACCTTGTGTCCTTGTTTGACTTCATTCCCACAATGAAACTGAGACATGCAAACTACAGTGCAACGGAATTCCCGCTCGCTCGACATGTCACCTGCCACGTGAAAGGGCCGTTCTAGACTTGATTGCGTTACGTAAACACGACACAGCGATTTTTTCTGAGTTGTGAAAAAAAATCCTTTTCTATCTTACATGTAGTAGATAGGCCATTTGAATGAACCGAAAATCTGCATTTACCGTGCAGTTTTACCACACTTGTCGGATTCCCGACGAAACCAAAAAATCTTAGGACCGAACATTAACCTCACAAATTTTCAAGCCCTAATTTCTCCAAGCCCTGAATTTTTTCCGTGAAGGATCAATGTCAGGATCAGTAAATGTTTGTGGTTGGTTTATTTATCGTACCATCCGCTGAATTTTACTTTTTCTCATCTGACAGTCTGAACTGCGCGGCCAGCATTGTACGCGTTCGGTACTACACCAATCATTTTGTTTTGAATACCCTTTGAAATTCCTACTTAAATCAAGCTACCAAAAATGTCTATAGATATTTATATTTTCCAAATTTTCCTATCCCCAAAGAAATCCCGTGATGAAAAATTTCAGAACAAAAAAGAAAGCCCTTTATCATCTCGGTAACTTCAACTCTTCCCTCCCCCTCCAAACCCCCGCCTCGGGCCGGGCCTAAGATCAGATATTATTGTTTGCGTTGTTCTTTTTGGTTGTTGGTAGTGGTTCGACACTTTTCGCTCTTCCTCTGTTTGTCCTGGTTTCTGTCAGTTTAGAAATATCCTAATGCGTTGTGCAATTGTATTGCAATATGCTGTATAAGGCCATTGTAAAGCACATGTCAAGTAAGGGCGTCGATATTTATAGATTTTTGGACCGTCTTGTTTTACTAAGTTTACTCTAGACTAGTGCTGAAAATAAACCAGCATCATTGCCAGCTAGTACAATTCTGCTTGCTTTTGTGTGGCGATACAGCGTGCAAAAATGGAGCGTTGGGTTGGTGATCAGTGTGGTTCAAGGAATAAATAACCGAGCACACAGTACGTGCACATAGGAGAGAGCAACTAATCAGTTAAGTGCCACTTTACGGTCAGTTCTGCATCATGCGACTGAACTTGCGTAGACACCTGCACATCTTCGAACTCATTAGGGGCCGACCATTTAACTCTTGAGGAGGGGGTGGGGTACTTCTGGTCATCAAGAATTTTTTTTCTAGCGATCTGGTGGGCAGGATATTTTTTCCCTTTTTTCCCATAAGCTTTCTATTACATTTGTGCTGCATGCAATTTTTTTCTTCCGACAAGCGCTTGCAGGAAATTTTTTTTCAAAATCACCCCCCCCCCCACCCCCCTCAAGAGTTAAATGGTCGGCCCCTTATAAAAGAATCAGTGTAACACGAACAAATCTTTATCTCCCCCGCCCGTGGTCCGTTAGACACCTAAGGCTATAAGAAATAGCTTGATGACCTAGGGATGCGTGACCACTGATACAACTAGTGGTGTGAGATATGAACAACAATAATAATAATAATAGCCAGAAACGCATTACAGTGTAATGCATTTCTAGCTCTACCTTGTAAACCACGCTTTTGAACCCCATTCCTTGCAGATAAATCAGCGTTGGAGATAACAGGCATTTTTTTATCATAATGTTTACTTGCCTTGTGACTACAATAGCGCAATTGGTGGACATCTTAAAGTTAGATTGAAAAAGTACCTAGCCTGCCAGCGGTATTGCACTCGTCGTGCAGTAGCGAGTACACATGTGCTAGCTTAGACCGAGAGTGCACTATCAAAGGTTGGTGTCGCAAGCGCAATATCAGACAGTAGCAGGGTTTTCTACAAGTAATTAGGAGCTGGCCATCTGACTTAGACCAGGGTATGGCTGATTTCATGGGTTTGCGTAAGAATTTTTTTTCCCCAAACCTCTGGTAATCATAGAATGTTTTTCCCTGACAAACAAAGCTATTGTATGGCAGGTATTTCCTTGCAAGACTTTTTTGTGCTCAAAATCAGACTTCAGGATATTTTTTTCTCAAATCACCTCTACCACGTCCCCCCACCCCCC